CTTCTCAATCTTTGCAAGTGCCTTGGGGGGCGAGTGATGAACCCTAAAAGGGTTTAGGGATCATATTACCTGAACAGGAGTTATAGTACTATAGGGTATATGGCCCCCAGGTTTTAGGGTTCTCGTTCCCAAGGTGCCGTGAAGCACGGCTACGTCGACGTGGTCCTGCAGCTTGCCGAAGACGAGCAGAGGCGTAGGAAGTTCTTCAACGCACGCTGCCGAGATGGACTCACTGTGGCAGACCACCTGTGCAAGTCACCAGGCGCGGCTATGGCTTACGTGCTGAGCGTTCTGGATGTTGATCGCAAGCTCCCGAAGCTTCTTGCCACGCCCAATAAATGGGGCAGCCGCCCGTTGGGCCAGAAAGGCATCCAGAGAAGCTTTCTGCGTGACAGCGCCGGTTTGGACACGAACAACTTGGCCAAGGACTTCAAGAATCAGGCCTTGAGACAGACTTACCTGCACCTGTGTGATTTCAAGGACATGGACGAAGTGTTGCTGTTGCTTGAGCAACGGGCAGATGCAGCAGCTGTGGACGCTTTGGGTCAGTCGGTCTTGTGGCACGCAGTCCATAGTGGCGCCTCTGCAGAGGTGGTCCAGCGCTTGCTGGAGAGCAGAGCGGAGCCAACGGGCGGGCACTCTCTCGTCCTTGCATGGGCACGATCAGGCCTCGTGGACGTAGACAATGACTTTGATGGGGGTGCCGGGCTCAGTGTTTTGAACCTCTTGCTTGAAGCTCGCTGCAGCATCAATGAGAGGGACGACCACCTCTGCGTTCCACCGCTGTGCGGAGCGGTCGCAGTATGGCAGGAGTCTGCTGGCATCACGACCTTTGATGTGCTAGTCAAGCACCGCGCAGATGCCAACGTGAGCGATGCCCTGGGGCAGACACCTTTGTCCATGGCTGTGCGCACCGGATACCTTGAGCTCGTGAGGAAAGTCCTGCCTCTTTGCCGAGAAGTCTCTAGCTGGAAAGATGTATCTGGCATGACACCGCGGCAGCTGGCTGAGAGCCTAGGGTTTGAGGGTGTTTATGAAGAGCTCCCAGAGGAAGTCACCTCTGAAAGACACAGAGATCCTTCGAAGAATCCGGCAACCTGCGACCCCTTCCTGCTGGCCAGACTCGGGCTTTCTGAACGCTTCCTGGAGGCTCCTTGGGGAAATGAACCCTGAAAGGGCTTATGGTTCATATTACCTTAATAGGAATTTTAGTAGTCAGGGTATATGACCCCAACCCTAAACCCTAAACTCTAAACCCTAGACCCTAAACCCTAAACCCAGTTTTAGGGCTCCTTTGCTCCCCAAGGCGGTTTCGACCTTCACGGAAGAAAGTCAGTGGACAAGGAGATGCCCCTTATCAGGCTACACCCTCCTCCAGGCTGCCATCCAAGGCCTGGTTTAGGGTTTAGGGTTTAGGGTTTAGGGTTTAGGGCAAAAGGGTGCTGCCATTCAAGGTCTTCGCAGCTGAGTGAGTGCACTTTAAACACTTTTTGGGATACTGCAATCCCCTAAAGAACTGAAAGTGTACCTAAACCGTACACCTTACACCCTACACCCTACACCCTAAATCCTAAACCCTAAACCCTAAACCCTAAAACTTAAACCCTAAACCCTAAACCCTAAACCAACTAAGAGGTGGCAGCTTGGATCTTTTGAACTCCATCCTCGCCCAATGCCCCGGCTTGGTGGAGGAAACGTCTCTTGGCGCAGACTGCGCATCATGCCACTTTGTCACAGTTGGGGAGCATTTTTACATTTTTAAGGGTACTTAAACACAATAAAGGAATAGAAACAGGTAGCATTTTTACATTTTTAAGGGTACTTAAATAAAGGAATAGAAAAAGGTAGCATCTTTACCTTTTTAAGGGTACTTAAACACAATAAGGAACAGAATGGGCCCTTATCTTTTATAGTGTATATAGGGGCTATATAACCTTTGTCATAGTTGGCGAACATTTTTACATTTTTAGGGGTACTTAAGCCATGCCACTTTGTCATAGTTGGGTAGCATTTTTACACGTTTAAGGGTACTTAAACCTAACAAGGAATAGCGTTGTCATAGTTGGGTAGCATTTTTACATTTTTTGAGGGTACTTAAAACACAATAAGGAATAGACATTTACATTTTTAATACTATCCCGACCATGAACTAGGCCAGACCCCGCTCGAGATCCTGGCGCGCGCCAGCCCAGTGCCCGAGATGGCCTACGAAATGGCAAAGGCACTGGTGGAAAGCAGGGCCGATCCCGCGCAGGAGTTTTAGGGTTTTTTGATTGTTTTGGGGTGTAGGGTTTAGGGTTTAGGGTTTAGGTTTTAGGGTTTAGGGTTTGGGGTTTAGGGTTTAGGGTTTAGGGTTTAGGGTTTAGGGTTTAGGGTTTAGGGTTTAGGGTTTAGGGAGCTTGCAAACACCTTCCAGTTGCCGGTTTGTTTGGACGGGCCACCTTAATCTGCAGGTCAATTCCAGCAATGTTCGTCTCCAAAGGCTCCAATGTAGTTCCTTTTTGGGTTAGTTATAGGGGATTCTAGTATACTACCCCAAAACGGTACTACATAGGAGCCTTTTGGTAGGTCGGGTTCCAAAGTCCAACAGCACAGGAGCTTGAGGTTGATTGCATCATTTGAGCCTGTGTACAGGCTACAGCACTAGGCTACAGCAACTTATGAAGCTTCTTAGCTCAAGCCTCTTGAAAACTGCGGGGGTCATGCCTGTAGCGCCTTGGAACAGAAGAGCAGGTTGCAGATGTCGCATCAACATTCGGACCGCCGAGCGTGTGTGACCCTGTACCCCCTCTCATAAATCCGTGTTTGCCTTCGCGGTTTAGGGTTTAGGGTTTAGGCCTTAGGGTTTAGGGTTGAAGGTTTACGGTTTATGAGACCACAACGACAAAATGCCTCATGATGCTGCCCATGCACAGAGGGTGTTGCAATGTTTTTTTCATGATGCAGAATCCCCGCCATGCTTTGTGGCAGTTGAACATTTCTTGGGACTGAGTCGACGAGACGGGTTGAAGTTGGGGGCATTTTCCAGCAAGGTGTATGAGCCTGATCAGCAATCTTGTCCCCTGATGCCCCCCTTACTAAACCCTAAACCCTAAACCCGACTGCCTGAATGCCCACTGCATTCGGTTTTGCAAACGGCTTCGGGCCTGCAGGGACTTGCAGCATCTCAACACTAACGGCAGCTCCCTTCATGTGGTCCCTGTTTCAAATCTGATGTATGGGCGCTTGGGTTGTCTAGGGTATATCAGGGGTATATAAGGGGTTCCCTTTTAGGGGCCCATACTAAGGGACCATGTAACTATAGGGTTTAGGGTCCGGCCGACTACCGAAGCCCGGATGCAAAAAGGGTTTAGGGTTAAGGGTTTGGGTGAGAGCTGCGCAGGAGAGCTCGGACTTAGAGCGAAAGCAGAAGACGCTGCTTTTCGCCGCCGCGGAGTCTGGCAACCCCGGCGTTCCTTGGAGAACTTGTTGGGCACTTCCTCTAGGGCCTCTAGGGTTTAGGGTTTAGGTTGTTTCTTTTTTCAAAAGGGGTTTTTCAGTTTAGGGTTTTTCAAGACACAACAGGCAATGAATTAGAAGTTCAACCTGTTCACGCCAGAAAAGGGCGACCCGAGAATCCTTTGGGATCCTTGTGCCCTGCAGGAAGCCCACATAAGCCAGAAGCTTCACTGAGCAGACGAAAGGCGCCTGGAAACAGGAAATGCCGACCTGCCTACATGGGCTATGGCCTAGTAGCCCATGCTGGTGCAGTAGCCAGGGTCAGGAAAGAGCACATCGTGCTGCAGCTGTCGTTGATGTAGGGGTCGAAGCTCTACACGGAGTGACTTAGTGTCAAGCACGCACCCTAATCCCTAAACCCTTAACCCAAAGCATCTTCAAGCAACTCGCCTTCCGGGTTGATGCAGCGCAACGCATCTTCAGGGCCAAGAACGCTGTGGCCTAAGGCCCGCTAGATACTCCTGGAAAAGTACATATTGAAGTAACTATGGGTGGAGCATCTCGGTCGACACTTCTATAGCCGTTCTACAGCAAGCCTATAGCCTGCGCCGCTGTTTGAGACAAGTTTCTGTGAGGTTCTCCGTCTGCTGCTGGAAGAGGGCAAGCATCCAGATGTGAACAAGACGAAGGCGCCATGGCCCGGTGCCTCTACGGTCCTTCCTGTGCCTTCGGGATGCTTGGAAATTATCTTTAGCTTTTGTGTACCATGCTTCCTAAGAAACAGCTAAAACTGACAACTTGTTGGGTACTATACTTCCTAAGAAACAGCTAACACTGACAACTTTTTGGGTACTATACTTCCTAAAACACAGCTAAAGCGGATAACTTTTGCCAGGGTTCCAAGTTCAGTATAGGTGCTCTGCTTTTGCACAGCAAAGGGGTGTGCCAGGCTCTTGGTGGAATACAAGGCTCAGGTGGGCCACTTAGGAGCTGAATCAGTACACCTTACACTTTTTGGGACACTATAATCTCCTATAGAACTGAAAGTGTACACTTTTTTGTAGATTATGAACTCAGCAACCAAGGCCACAACCACCAGATTCTGGCCGCCCTGCCTGGCATCAATGGCCTCAAAGAGGTCCTGGAGCATGTGCCTCCATCCGAAATTGATGCGGCGCTCTCGCGTGACGGTCGAAGCCCTCTGTTCCATGCAGCCTCTCCGCATCATGTCCAGCTGCTGCTGGACAAGAAGGCATCTGTGAACAAGAAGAACCACAATGGAGAAACCCCCCTCTTCGCTCTAGTGAGGTCCGCGAAGAATGCCCTGCATGGCAGCAAGATGGTGGAGGCATTGCTAAAGGCGCGATGCAACGCCAACGAAAAAAACTCCCATGGCAACACTCCTTTGTACCTTGGGGACGAATTAAATTATAAACCCTAAAAGGGTTTATGGTTCAAATTACCTTGATAGGAACTAGAGTAGCCAGGGTATATGACCCCAATTTTAGGGTTCATTTTCGTCCTCCTCAAGGTACTTCCTCAACGCCTGCCCGGTTGCGGACCTACTGCTGGGAGCTCGAGCCGATCTGTTTCATGAGAATGTCAGAGAAACCCCTTGCGGCCTGGCGTGCGCCCGCAGCGCTGAAAACATGCAAAGCGTGAAGTCGCACGTGGAGGGGAACTCTGAGGACACCCGACGCATTCTCGACATGAGGCACCCCATGACTGGCATGGATATGGTTCTCACCGCAGCCGAGGCAGATAGCCCCGAGCCCTTGAAACTGCTGATTCAAATGCGCGCCGACATCTTCAGCAGTGTCGACAACAAGGGCGAGAATATCCTCCACAAAGCTGTGCGCGCACATCTTTCGATCACAGAGTTTGTGTTGCCTGGGGACCAAATGACTCTCAAATGACGCCTAAAATTGGGGTCATATACTTCCTGTTAAGGTAATATGGGCCATAAACCCTTTTAGTGTTCATATTTCGCCCCAAGGCAATATGGGCCATAAACCCTTTTAGTGTTCATATGTCTTCCCAAGGTAGTATGGGCCATAAACCCTTTTAGGGTTCATAATTCGTCCCCTAGGTTGCAGGAGGCGATGCAGCGCAAAGACTATTTCAAGTTGCTGCGTTCTCGTGACGACGACGATGCATCGATCGTGCACAAAGCGGTCCTGCCGTCCACGTTGTCATGGAGGGCGCGCTGGAGTCAGCGAGCATGGCTGCAGCCCAATAGCCGCCAGTTGCTTAAATGTGCTCCCAGCATGGTCAACACGTGGCCACTACTGCTTGTTCTGCACGCCTGCAAGATGATTGACGAGTCAATGCCGGCAGAGCTTGTGAACGCTCAGGATAGAAACCCGGCCACAAGGCTTAGTCGTGGTGGGACACGAGGGTCGAGGTTGCCACTGCGTGATGAACGAGGGTTGCTGCTGTGACATGAGAACTCTATCCCTAAACCATCCTAAACCCTAAACCCTAGACCCTAAACCTAAACCCTAAACCCTAAACCCTAAACCCTGAACCCTAAACCCTAAACCCTAAACCCTAAACCCTAAACCCTAAACCCTAAACCCTAAACCCTACCCCTAAACAGATCCCAGCGTGAGAAGCATGAGCGACTTCCCAGCATGCCTACGCACAGTGCGTACAGGGATGGGGCAGCACCGCTGCAGCCAAGGACATGGGCGGTCGCCACTAGATGGGCTTGGGTGCCTTCAAACAGCTCAAACCTTGTTGCTCAGGGATGCTTCGAAATGATCTTTCATGTTTGGGCACTATAATTCCTAAGAAACAGCAAAAATGATAATTTTGGGGGCTTTTAAGTCCTGAGACCTAAGAAAAACCTAAAATCAATGACTTATTCTAGGGTTCCAAGTTCAGAAAAGGTTGGATGCGGGAGCCGATCCTGTCCGAGCGCTGGCGCATATACCCGACCCGGGGAATCTGCAGTTCCTTGGGGACCAAGTGAGCCCCAAAAATTGGGGTTTAGGGTTTAGGGTTTAGGGTTTAGGGTTTGGGGGTCTTACCCTGAGTACTATAACTCCTAACTATGACGGTAATATGACGCATCAACCCGTTTAGGGTTCATATTTGGTGCCCTAGGTTGGTGGATTTGCTCATTGCGCATCGTGCTGACATCAATGCCCGAAAGTCCCATGGCCAGTTGCCAATACAAGCAATGGTGAAAGCTGGGGACTTGCCACTGCTTGAGGCGTGGGTGGATGACCGTGGGGCCGACGTACATTTCGTTGATGCAAGGGGCGATGGCTTGATGGCTTTCGTGAGGCACACGTACATGAAGCAGGAGCTAGAGAAGAGGCAGCTCGATGTGAATCAGCAGAACCCTGTCACTGGCAACACCCTCATGCACATCCTTACCCAGGAGGGCAACGTGAAGCTGTTGGGGCATTTACTGCGCGACCCAGATGTGAAGGTGACGGGAAATACTGACGGACACTTCTCTGCATTCGTGTTGCTGTCAACTTTCCTTCCTTGTTTTCTACGAGGGGAAGTCCGGGAGCCGAACAAGAGTCCTTGAAGATACTTCGTAACCCCTCACCATCCATGACCCAACTTCTGAAAGAACGCAGTAGTGGCTGACCCGTACTGTAGCTGCTTCAGCCGAGGCCAATCGCTGTTGCATATAGCATCAATGTCCGGGCACGTGCATATGGCTGAATTTCTCAGAGAAAAAGGCTTTTCGCTACGTGACACAGACGGGCTGGGCTGCACGCCGCTTCATCGAGCTGTCCAAAGCGGACACCATGGAATGGTACCCTGCCTGCTTCGGTTTACCAGCATGGGCTGTTGGGCCTTATCATCCCCCAACCAACCCTACAACAGGGCCTTCTTGAGGGGTTATAGGGTATACTAGCCCATGTAGGTATAGGGTTCGGTTTACATGTAGGGGTTAGGTTCACGCGTGGTGTGATTGCGTGTCTATACAGCGTATGCCTAAAGAAAAAATGCCTAGTTTTGCAAGCCCCCCCCCCCCCCCCCCTTGTGTATTGTTGGCAGGTACAGTACTTGATCCGGGCAAGATCCGACATCAACGCGAGAGACAACACGGATAACACACCCTTGGTGTATGCAATTCGGTCGGATGACAGCCTCGCTGTCTTAGATGAGCTCCTTCAGATGAGGGCTGATGTGACTGCGGAAGCAGAGAACGGTCTTTCCTCGTTGCACATTGCCGCAGACTGTGGATCCGTGTACGCCCTGAAAGAGCTGCTGAAACCCGAGTGGGGGTTGGACATCAACCGCCGGGCCGGGTTCTTCCAGCGTTCGGTCTTACATCAAGCGGCGCATCGCTCGAAGCAAACCGAGTATACACTTTTTATGAGTTGCGGCCTGCGCCTCTCTCTAGATCGATGCTATACCAGCATGGGCGATTTGAGGCCTTTATAATCCCCCTAGCCAACCCCGTAAAGGGCCTTCTTAAATGGGTTATCGGGTCTAAATAGCCCATGCAGGTAGATGTGATCCTTCTCCACAGCCTTGCCTTAAGGTGCTGCGTAGGCATCTCAGCATCGTGGACGAGCTGCTCCAGTGGCACCAAGATCACGACCCCTGGCTCCACCAGCTGGATACCGATGCGGGGGACTCGCGCGGCGACACGGCCGCGACCCTGGCGGCCCAAAGTGCCTTGGAGATGAATTATGAACCCTAAACAGGGTTTGTATGGTTCATATACCTTAATAGGAATTCTAGAGGGTTTATGGCTCAATACACCTTAATAGGACTTCTAGTAGTTATGGGTACATGACCCCCAGTTTTAGGGCTCATTTGGCCCCCAAGGTGGGGCAAAGAACATCCTGGACCGGCTCTGCGCCTACTCCGCGGACCATGTGGCGCCCTTCCTCGCCGCAGTGAAGTTCGGACAGAAGCCATGTGTGGAGCTCCTGATCCAGAAGCCTGGTAGCCCAATGGTACCCTTTTAGGGTTTAGGGTTTAGGGTTTAAGGTTTAGGGTTTAGGGTGGGTACCTTTTTGGAGGGAGGTTCTGGGCTTCTCTTATAGAGTCACCAACCCAAAACAAGGGGGTGCCCTTAAGTATGAGATGGTTCCTGGGCGACCTCAAGGAAGTATGGGCTCAAGCCTTCATTGTGCTTTGAGAGTGCGGGCAACAACGCGCTGCACCTGTGCGCGCGATATGGCCACGGCGAGCTCCTTGGGGACGAGTTATGAACCCCTAAAAGGGTTTATGGTTCATATAGCCTTCATAGGAAATATAGTAGTATAGGGTATATGGCCCTCCATTTTTTGGGTTCATTTCGTGCCCAAGGCTGGCTGACTACATCCTTGAAAACTGGGCTGGCGATGTCTTGGAGGCACTATACCATGACAACCATGAGAGTCTTGGGAGCAAGGTGGTACACCTTGTTTGCCCTTTCTTTATGGCTCCCTGACGTGTTCAACGAAAAAAAGGGCTACCCTTTTGTCATGACCCTAAACCCTAAACCCTAAGCTCTAAGCCCTAAACCCTAAACCCTAAACCCTATAAACCCTAAAGCCTGAACCGGGTTAGCGGGGGCCACCAAGGAATCAGACTCCCTGCGATGTTGCAGGCATCCACAGTCCAAACATCCAGCGTCATTTCGAGGCGCACTGCGTCCGGCACAAGATCCTTGGGGACGAATTCCATGAACCCTTAGAAGGGTTTAGGGTTTAGGGTTTAGGGTACATTCATAGGAATTATGGAAAAGTAGTATAGGTTATATGACCCCCCAATTTTTAGGTTTCCTTTCGCCCAGGATTGATCTCGCTCCCCGCGCCCCACGCATGTGTCCGGGGATGCGACTCCCCTCTGCCTATGCCTGCTGCTTCAGCCGCCCCAGATATGTCTTAGCAGCTTTTGCTGCGGTGTTTAGGGTTTAGGGTTTAGGGTTTAGGGTTTAGGGTTTAGGGTTTAGGGTTTAGGGTTTAGGGTTTAGGGTTTAGGGTCACTGAGTTGGGATGTTTTTGTTTTTTTTTTCTTCAAAATTTGATGCATCCGGGTGTAGAAGAACTATAAGTTGCTGTTGTCAGGTCGGCCTCCATCGTTGATGGATTGACGACGATTTTCCTCTTCTCAGATTGCCTGAAGCAGACCAAAGAGAAGAAATCGGGTTTAGGGTTTAGGGTTCAGGGTTTAGGGTTTAAGGGCAGCCTGCGTGTCTATGGGTATGGGCGATGGGGTCTCTCAGGATCTTTCACTATCCCCACATGCCTAGGATAGCCGAGCGGCCTAGCTAAACGCTAAACCTCCGCGCGTAGGACATAGGCGTGTCTACAATTGATTGTCTCGCATGTGTTCACCGACAGACAGACTAATTGGTTAAGAGCAGCTTGTCCACAATCCAACGGAGGAAATCTGAAACGAGTAACTTCGTCTGCCTGCAGCTACCAATTCGAGAAATCGTCCGGCCATTGATAAAAGTTTCTGACAATGTGCCAGCAGCCCGCAACGCCCAGGATCGGCCTTCTTCTGGAGGCATCGGCAAGACCTCCCAACCTTAATCTGGAAGGAGGCCAAAAAATCCTGGCTTTGGGTATGCACAAACCCTAAACCCTAAACCCCTAAACCCTAAACCGTAAAGGGTCTCCACACACCCGATCCCTGACCCAAGACTTCTAAACCTCGCAAACATCCACTAGCGGAGCTCTCCTTGATTACCTCACTACCCGCTGTGTTAATAAGTGAGCGAGCATAAGTTTGCTAGCGCTTTTTGGTATAGAGGTGTCAAAATACACTCTCATATTTTATATAAACGTACGACAGTGTATAGTATGACATTATAGTAGTATACCATGATAAAGTATATCATTATGCTAGTACAACCTTATAGTAGTAGGACAGGTGTAACATTACAGTAGTAATCCCCAAACCCTAAACCCCAAACCCCAAACCCCAAATCCCAAACCCCAAACCCCAAACCCCAAACCCCAAACCCTAAACCCTAAACCCTAAACCCTAAACCCTAAACCCTAAACCCTAAACCCTAAACCCTAAACCCTAAACCCTAAACCCTAAACCCTACACTACACCCTACAGAGCTCAGCTCTGGGTGTTAGGGAAGCCTCACGACGAACGAACACCGGTCGAGGCGGCCACCAGCTTCCAGTGCATTCGCATCTACCAGGCCCTTGTTTTCGAGCATGGCCCCTAAACCCTAAACCCTAAACCCTAAACCCTAAACCCTAAACCCCGAGTCAAAGTATCCGGCTGCCCTTGCAGCATGCTCTCAATCAAGTTCCACCCTAAACCATAAACCCGAATTTCCGGGGCCCCACGGTGAGGGTTCTCAGTCCAAATCCTCAGTCTACACGCCCTTTAAGGGTACTTTCGTGGTGCTTAAACCCCAAACCCCTGACCCCTGAACCCTAAACCCTAAAGCCTAAACCCTAAACCCTACCCCTAAACCAGGCTTCCGGCTCCCTGCGCCGGGATCCCCAGCTTGTGGGCGAAGTGACACCTTCCTTGCGGACCCAATTCTGAAGAAGGTTTTAGTTTAGGGCTTAGGGCTTATAGGCTTAGGGCTTATGGTTTAGGGTTTAGGGTTTAGGGTTTAGGGGGTCTTTTTGGGCTTCCTATACCTTAGCAGGAATTCTAGTTAGGGCATATGACCCCAATTTTAGGATGCATTTGGTCCCCAGGGTTGACATGGGCTTCTGAGAGCGTACCCCGGGCATCCTCGGGCCTGAGCCAGAAGGGCCACATGGATCTCTAAAGTCGAATAAGCCGAACACGAAACACAAGGTCTACACCCCAAACCCTACACCCGAAAACCCTAAACCCCAAACCCTAAACCCCAAACCCCAAACCCTAAACCCCAAACCCTAAACCCTAAACCCTGGTGCCTAGAACCCGGACCCTAACGAGATGCCAACCCTAAAACCCTACCCTCAGCGCGAGATGCCCAGAACCCTTAACCCGAACTGCACCCTCGACCCTATGAACCCAATACGCCTTCAAGGTCTCTACCCTCTGAACCCTAACATCTACGAACCCGAACCCTATAAGTCCTCAAGTTGTATATCGCCTTGACCCTAAGATATCTAACACCAAAAGCCTGAAAGCCAGGGCTTGGGTTTGGAGCCTTCGGCTTTCGCCTCGCGTTGCCCTTGTTGCAGAGGGTTTGTTTGGGGTTTAGGGTTTATAGGCTTTAGGCAGAGAGGCGGTTGGGTCAGTAGTCCTGGTGAAACAAACGGCGTAGGGTAGACCCTAAACCCTAAACCCTAAAACCACCATAGAGTTCCCGCATGCAACGGCCGCAGACGTACCCATAGGGCTGGTAGCAGCGATAGCATCCGATAGCGGTATCCCGCTCCAGGCAGGATGCAAAAAAAGCTGCAAGTACAACGCAACTACATTTTAAAGGTGCGGGTTAAACTCTACATGTCAATCTCCAGCTCATTCAAAAGCTAATGGGGTTTAGGTGAAAGTATTTGTTTGCAGCTATGAGGGCACAGGGGACGGTGTGATTCGGGTTTCGGGCTTAGACTCCGCGACAAAGAGCAGCTCGCCGCTCAGTTGGGAACCCCTTCGCGGAAGTGCTGCGCATTGAGCGGCCAAGGGCTTGGAAGGCTCTGGAGCTTTCAGGGTTGTGAGCGCCAAGGCCCAGATCCCTAAACCTCATGTTCTCTAGGGGTCGGTGATAGTTACTAATGGTATTCCTCCTATGGTCCCTGTATATTGTTACTAGAATAAGCCCCAAAACCCTAGTCTAATTGCTCCGTCCAGCTCTTCGTGAAGCAATGCAGCCCAAGGCCTTATATCCTGTGAACCTCTAAACCCTACAAACGCTACGTCAGTCAGGGTTCCAAGGATTCAGGGCAAGGTGCAGTGTAGGCCAGCGTAGGCTTCACGGTAGGTAAGGAGTTGGGGTTGACGATGTCCGAACTTAAGAAGGATCCTTACATGGGGTCCTCCTGGTCCTTAGCCTATGCTACCTTAACAACGCCACTAGGTTTTGCTTCGGGGTTTTCCTTAATTTGGGCTTATAAGGAACTCTAGCTGCAAATATGGGTTTCAAGGCGGCCAACCCGTTTCAAGCCGAGTTTGACAGGAAGACACACATAGGGGGTTCATAGTTCATAGTGATAACCGACAAAGAGACAGAATTTCGGGTTCAGAGAAAATAAGGGGTTTAGGGTTTATGAACCGTCTGCACCTACCGAACACCATCATGCTTGCAGTGGCTGCTTGGATTTTCAAGATCGAAAATGTTCCATTGGGATGCCTTATATTTTCCCTCATTTGGTTTAAGAGAATCATATTCATCAGAAGGTTCAAGGCGCCATTTTGGGTAAAGCCACAATACTCTCTCACAAGCTTAGTAGCTGAGTGTGTACACTTTACACTTTTGGGGGGGGGGGGGGGTCTTATGAACTCAGCAACTAAGAAAGGGAGTCCTGAAACACAAGTTCAAACAGTTCCCGAGGTGGGCAGGAAGTACTGATGGCTGGGCCGGTGCCTCAGGTCGGTCCTCGGTCGGGTGTTATAGTATATAGGGTTTAGGGTTTAGGGTTTAGGGTTTAAGTAAGGGTGTAAGATTTAGGGCTTCGGGTTTAGGACAGCCCATGATCATCCTCGAAACCAGACCCTGACCGTGAGCCTACCTTGTTCATGCTTACAGGTACTTTGGGGGAGGGAGGGGGGGTTAAACCCAAATCCTAAGCCGCGGAGCGCGAAGGACAGCTTCTCGTTTAGGCTTCATGCCAAGCTTTTCGTCGAGAGGATGTGAAGCCCCAACCAGACACAGGGTTTAGGGCTAGGGTTGAGGGTTTAGGGCTTCGGATTTAGGATTTAGTGTGTCCAGGCTTCCTGGTTGTTTTAAGGGGTTTACCCTAAATCCTGAACCCTACACCCGATGTCGGTCGAAACTCTATACTACAAACGTTCAGGCAGGGCTGGGTGTTTGAAAAACAGGCAACTTAAACCACAGAGCACATCCGGAAGAACCTAAAGTCAAACCCCAAGCTTCAAACCCTGATGTACCCCTCAACACACAACCCTACCGAAGCGTTACAGTGTTGCACTGCACCGGTTTAGGGTTTAGGGTTTAGGGTTTAGGGTTTAGGGTTTAGGGTTTAGGGTTTGACACCTTGGGATGGTCCCCCTTTATACTAACAGTCCTTACTGAGGACTGTGAGTATAAAGGGGGAACATCCCAACCTGCACCCCTAGAAGCCCTGAACCTTAAACCCCCAAACCCCCAAACCCCCAAACCCCTAAACCCCCAAACCCCCAAACCCCTACGTAAACCCCCAAACCCCTAAACCCCTAAACCCCTAAACACCTAAACCCCTAAACCCCTAAACTTCTAAACCCTTGTTGGGGCATCCTGCTCCAAGAGGGCGCCGGCTTTTGCAGAAACTGAGGAACCGAGCCGGACCTTCGGGACGGTCGCAGCCTCGGCGCTGATTTCGTGTTCTTGAGATTAGTACTTGTTTTTTTTCAGTTATCTTGGGGCTTGGGGTTTAGGGTTTAGGGTTAAGAACCCAAAACCTAGAGCATCCTATAAGGGATGTTACGATAAGGAACCTACAAAAAGGCAGGCTTTGGGTTCTTAGCGTTTTTCCAATTTGGGGTTATTTTGGGGCTTAGGGGGTTCAGGGTTGGGGGGCGGGGCTGCCAAAGCCCCTCGCTTTAGGGATTAGTCTGGTTTAGTTTTGGGGCTCAGGTTTAGGATTTGGGACTCTTGGAGCTTCGGGTTTAGGGTTTAGGGTTTAGGGTTTAGGGTTTAGGGCTGTTGATTGGGTTGTAGGCTTTTAGGGTTTAGGGCCCCATACCAGGCTCGATAGGGCTCGATGCGCTACCACGTGAGCAACAAGACCTACAGAGGAGAGGTTTCCAGCACCGTAGAGCTTCAGCCCCTGTAAGCCTAGAACCCTTTCAGCCCTGAAGAGTCCTAAGCCCTAAACAGCCCTGAACAACAAGTACAAAAACTTCAACACAAACCCTAAAGCCGCAGCCCTAACACCTTCTAACCCTGAACCCTTGAACAAATCCTCAAAAGTCCTCAGCCTTCGAGGTAAACCCCTTGAGCGGGGGCCAGTGGTCGGATCTGATTGTTCTGCCAGCGGAAGCCAAGTTTGCCATGCAGGCGCACTCGTTTTTTGTCAGAAGGCCGCCAGGGCTTTTAAAAGGTTTAGGGTTTAGTGTTTAGGGTTTGGGGAGACCCGTGAGTCCTGAAAGTTCAAGGGGTTTTCAGATGTCTGGCAGTATCTACCAAAGTCTGGATGGTTGGCTTGATATGACGCGAGCGGTCGACTACACCCACCCGGTCAGCGGGTGCGCGTGCCGCGCACACGTAGCCAGGCGCCTGCATATGCGTATGAACTTCCACTCGAACACCATCCGGATCCAAAGAAGACAAGGTAGGACCTCAGTGCATACTTGATCTTGTCCTAAACCCTAAAACCCTAAACCCTAAACCCCTAAACCCCATGCCCTAAACCGTAAAACCTACAGCCCGATTTGTCTACTGAGCAGGCAACCAAAGTTCTGCATGGTATGGTGGCTCAGAACCTTCTGAGGGTCGGAGTGCGCAGCACCTCCCCAAAAAGCAAGAACAAACAATTTGGCAGAATAGTAGTCCCTACATTGCCATTGTCGGGAAGAATATTTGCACTTTTGGGGTTGTAGCAAGTAGTAGGATCACAGGGAGTTGCAACCACCACGTCTAGATCCGCATGAAAGCACATCGAAAATATCATCGCCGGACAAGTTCTGCGGCAGGGAGAACGCAATGGCCTTGGCGGCTAAGCTGAAGCTGAAATGGCACTTGATTTATCTCGGTCTTGCTCTTGGAGTCAGCCTCATCCAACTGCTCTGTAATGGCTGGGTCTCGTTCTTGGCAGTCTTTTGTGGCCTCTTTCTCGGGGTGGTGCATGTCCCCGGCGCATCGGCAGGCAGGCACTGCTCATGGAAATGCAGAGCCACGCTATGCATCGCGACCGCAATTCTCACGGTTTGTCTTGCATGCCTACAATGGCTGATCTGGTTTACGTATGAGGGCGCGATGCTCTTCTTTCCTGTTCAGCAGTCGCTCTCTCCGGTTCTGCTTTCGTGGATATGGATCTGCTGCACCATGAAGAAGCACCCGCGTTCAAGCTATGCGCATGATGCAAAGTGGTGCTTGTTTGGGAACTGGTTTGTGGCGGTCGTGTTCCAACTCTCATACACAGGTCTGGCGGTGGGCTTCTTCGATGCGTTTGCCATCGGCGTTGCCTTTGCAAATGGCTTGTACCTTGGGGACGAAATGAACCCTAAAATTGAGGCCATATACCCTTATACTGCCATAATTCCCATCAAGGTATATGAACCCTAAACCCTTTTAGGGTCCATTTCGTCCCCAAGGTACTGCGTTGTCCTTGGCTGGACGCTGTATATGCTGCAGCTGAGAATGACAGAAATCAGAGACCTAGTAGCTGAGTGGATACGCTTTACACTTATTACGATAAGTACCCTAAACCCTAAACCCTAAACCCTGTAGAACGGAAAGTGTACACTTTTTGGGAGCTTGTGAACCCAGCAACTAAGGAGATGGTGCTCGGCAGTGCCGGCAGGTGTGGATACTGGTGATGTGCTGTGCCTGGTACGTACCTTGGGGACTACTTATGAACCCTAAAGGGTTTATGGTTCATACACAGAGCCCTAAAAGGGTTTAGGGTTTAGGGTTAAATTATGGTTCATATTACCTTAATGGGAATTATAGTAGTCAGGGTAACTGACCCCCAATTTTGGGGTTCATGTCGTCCCCAAGGTAAGCAACGCAAGCGAAGATCTGTTGTCCGCGGTCAGCAGCTCGGTGATGTGCACCATCTGGGCAGCATCTTGGCAGAAGAGAAAGGTAACCTTTAGCCTTTTTAAGGTGTATTTATAAGCCCTGTAATAATTCCAAAGGTTAGAACCTTTTTGTTCCCTAGGGTACTTGACTTTAGCCTTTTTTTGGGGCCCTATATAATCCCAAAGGTTATAGCCTTTAGTTCCCTAGGGTCTTGGACAACTAAGGCATTCACAGCCCTCACCTGCAGAAGCTTAGCAGCGAGCCTCCGGCTGGTGATTTCGGAAGCCACTTACTTGGCCAAATAGTTGAACTTGATAAGCTTTTTGGGTCCAACCTTATTTCGTAGGAACCACAAAGTTGAACCTTATAGTTTTTGGGGGTTTCCTTCTTCAGTAGGAACATTGGGTTTCCTTATCCAGTAGGAACAGTAAAAGTTGAACCTCTTGTTTTTTCCTTTTTGGTTATTGTCCTTATTCAGTAGGAACAGCAAAGTTGAACCCCTTTGTCTTTTCCTTTGGTTCTTGGAGAAGTCAGGCCAGGCGTGTGCGAGGACAGCCCCGGAAGCTCGCGCGCTGGGCCGCGCGAGTCCTCAGCCTGGAGCTCCTGCTCTGCGCAATGCTGCTTTTTAGGGATCTGGTAATTTTTAGGGTTTAGGGTTTAGGGTTTAGGTATCCTAAACCCTAAAACTTTCATTGTAATATAATGTTGCCTGGAATAATGTTTTTTGGGGGCGCTAGAATTCCTCAGAGGCAGCTGAAATTACAGTTTTTGCTAGGGTTCCAAGTTCAGTGCAGGCTTGGGCTCACAACGTGCTGCACCGGAATTCTCAGCTGCCTTGTTGCATTGACTCAGAAAGACAAACTGTCAGAAGCAGAAGGTTTGAGATTGGCAGTGCTCCTTCGATGGCAGTTCACAGCCGTGCGCTTGGACTGGGTTATCAATTCACTTGGCCTCAGCCTCCTCTCTGGCATACTTTGGCAAGGACTTAGTAGTAGAGTACGTAACTTAAACCTTTTTGGGGCATTTTAAGTCTTCCTGTCTGCCAAAGGTTAGCCTTTAGTTCCCTAGGGTACTGGACAACTAAGAGGACAGCCGCCGGAGGACGATGTGGAGTTCGGTTCGGGCAGACTCGCGCGAGGGTTGGTCTCCATGTCATGTTTCTTGAACGACAGCGAGAAGGAAGTCTACCAGGATGTTGTCAAGCAGTTGGCAAACCGTGGCTTTCACCTTAGCTCACTTCTCTGCTTCTGGGAACCTTGGGGACCAAATGAACCCTAGAATTGGGGTCAGACTACTTTTATCCTTATTGAGTCTTTATGAGCCCTAAACCCGAAGCCCTAAACCCTATAGCCTCTACATATATATATATATACATATATCTCTCTCCTTGACCCTACAGTCATTTGGTCCACAAGGAAAGGCTGAGCCGAGATGAGCTGATGCCAGGGTTTGATGCGCGGCGCTCGGTGACCAACGACGTGGTCCGCCGGGCCATCATCCCAGCCTCCCGCCTTGGGGATGGCGGGTGTGCCCTTGCAGAAGTTTGGTCCACCAATCTGAGGCTAGGCAGGCCCTGGGATACCAGGATGGGATATATTGGGCCTTATAATCCCCATAATGAACCCTGTAAAGAGCCTTGTTAAGGGATTATAGGGTATAATCACCCATCCTGGTATGTTTCATGCTTTGACTTTGAGTTTACGAGGGTCATCTGGTCATCAGCAGGAATCTGGAGTTCACAGGGTTGAACGGGCCAGCCTAGGAAGCCGCAAGTCATGGTGTCACACAACTGGACGAACAGCTTTGGAAGCCTAGCTGCTGCAATACTGGCGGATGCGTTGGGGCACAAAGCCTACCAGGATGTCGCCGCCCAACTCGCCACCCGTGAGGGCATCGAGCAGATCCGAGTCAAGCTCGGCTGCAAGCTGGATACCACCTACTGGCTGTGCGCGTTCTCCGTCAACCAGCATGCCAGTATTTGCGCCGGGTTCGGGCCGGAACCGCTCCAGGGAACGGCCGAATGGAATGCCTGGGCCAAGAAGCGCTGTGATTCGGTCACTGGCGAGATGTTTTCCTTGTGCGACTGCACAGTACAGAAAGTTCTGAGCCACACCGACCCACGGTGTGAGCTCAATAAGTTCGATGACATGATGACATACTTAGCAATGGAGGTTTCGGACTTCTCTCAACTGATTGTTGTGGATGATGACTTTGACGTGCTAGGCCGAGCATGGTGTCTTGCAGAGATATTTGAGGCCAACGTTTTGGGTATGCCGGCCCGGATTCAAGTTTCTTCGCAAGAGGCGGTGGACCTCAACTATGACAGGCTGATGCTGCTAGATGTGAGGATGTGCTCGGCTTCATCACAGCCTGACAAGGACATGATCATCTCTAAGATCGCAGATGTGGATGCTTTCAACTGGAAAATACGGGAGCTGGTCTTCAGTGCCGATACCGGCTTCTTTGCAGAATGGGTTGATGGCAACGAACGTTCTCGCCAAGTTGGTCGAATCGTGCGGCGTTGCGCGATGCGATCTGGTAGCAGTCTAGGGCAGCCTGTGAGCAGTTGGACTCTTAGTAGCCCAGAGGTACACTTCTCCCTTTATTTGATTCAAGGTTCCCTTACAAAGACACCAACCACGCAAAGGGTGCCCTTATGAATAAGATGGTTCCTGGGCTACGCAGGACTGGATGTTGTGCCATTTTGGGCATCTGGAAGTCTCGGGACAGCGATTCCGAGGATGAGTCCTCGGAAGACGAACTCACTGGAGGCGCGACAGGCTCCACCGATAGTGACAGTGGCTTCTGAAAAGGCATAAGAGGCTGTGTGCGCACCTTGTGTGAGGTAACTTCTACAATCCATGGTGTCCCTTGTAGGGTTCTCGTGAGCCCAGCACATTTATGGAGTATTCTCCCCAAAAAACAGCTGCCCATAATCTGCGTCTGTATATATTATGTGCATATATATATATATATATATCTATCTATCTATGTATCTATCTACACACTATATATATATATATATACACACATCTATCTCTATATTGTATGTGTATACGCACATACTAGAATAGATGTCAGCTTGATATTGTAGAAGCCCTAAAAAGCTTGGGACGTTGGCTCCCTCCCTTGGTGGGCACCCCCCTCCCTCCCTGAATTTTCGGGGATGACGTGCAAGATGTGTACTCCCATGACGCAGGCTATGCAGGCTTAGGGTTTAGGGTTTAGGGTTTAGGGTCTGGAGCAGGTTGAGGGTTTGGGTTTAAAGGTTTTGAGTTGTTTCAAGGTTGTGGTTCAGAATTTGTGCTGCTGCCATGACCCTGAACCCTAAACCCTAAACCCTAAACCCTAAACCCTAAACCCTAAACCCTAAACCCGCATCCTTTGGCTTTATCCAAGCTGTCGATACGATCTGCGGATGAGATCCCAGGAGCACCCTCCAAACCCTAAACCCTAAACCCACATGGGCAGTGCTCCAAGTTATGGCCCCATTTTTGGAGTGGGTCCCTCCCCTGCAAGCCATTTGAAGAACTGCCCATCCCAAAATCCGGAACCCTTCCTAAACCCTGTAGCCCCAACCAGCATGGGCAATTAGGCCTTTTAGTCCCCCTAACCAACCCTATACAGGGCCTTTTAAAGGGGTCATATGGTATAATAGCCCATGTAGGAACCTCGGTTTCAGCCAGTCGTTGGAGTGGCGCGTGGTGTCCGAGAGCAGCGTGACACGGCCGGGCCCTATTTGGCTGTAGAGTCTTCGTTAGCTAGAAGCAGGGAGGTGAGAGGGGTGGCCGTAAGGCTTCTGGAGCTTTCTAGGCTGGGCTTGCACCCTAAACCCTAAACCCTAAACCCTAAACCCTAAACCCTAAACCCTAAACCCTAAACCCTAAACCCTAAACCCTTAACCGTACAGGGACGTTTTGGGGTTTACTCGGGGTTCGTACGGATTGGAGATGGCGCAAGCGGTACGTCACGAGCCCCAAACCCATGACCCATGAGCTGAGCTTACCTGAGATTCCGAGAACACCGAGTTCAGAAGTTTTCTTGGAAAAGGTGTATAAGGGCCGAACCCAGTGGCATTAGCTTCTGCTTCAGGGTTGTTCCACGCGCGTTTTAATCACGAAATTGAAATTGCGTGTATCAATTGCATAGCTTCGGTTTGGGGTAATGAACCATTATGATACAGGCACTTGGGTATTCATTGTGTCCCAATACCTACCGGGAAGCACTGCACTGCAAAGGAACGAGACTGAAGCTGTCACTCTTATGACAATGCCGATAATCTAGGGCAAAACATAGGCCACGGCTGCAAGCATTCGCAGGGCCTTCAGGGCAGGGTGTTAAGGGTTTAGGGTTTAGGGTTTAGGGAGGAGGCTGGAACCTGCCCTAGGCATTGGGCGGTCGCGGAGCTTGCTTTTTTCGACAACGTGGAATGTCCCGGACCCCATCTGTCTCTTAGGGTTTAGGGTTTGGGGTTTAGGGTTTGGGGTTCAGGGTTGAGGGTTTAGGGTACATTCACGGGCAAAGGGTTCATTTTCAGTATGCTAAGACCTGACAACATATGAGTCACCTTATGGAGGACCCCCAACACAAGCGCAGGAGGGGATTCGTGGAATAAGTGTGGCATGTCTTCCGGTTTCGTAAACTACGACCCTTCATTATTGAACATAGGCAGAAAAGATTAAGTTTGATGTTTCGTGCAAAAAGCAGGCCTCCAGTCCCCAATGTCTGAAAACCTTGTACCCGACACCCTAAACCTCCCTCAACCCGATTGTTCAAAACTCCCTAAACCCCTAAGGGTCCAGGTACCTGAATAGGGAATACTTGGGCCGTAAAGTACATCCTATATACGGCCTTTGAGGCACAATAATGAGGTAGCTTGCGGGCTTTTCTGGTTTTAAGGGTTCTTGCAGTTTTGGGGGGTGGGCCGGGGAGGGGGAGAAGGGGCTTGCAGATGATACGGGTTCGGGCTTGCATGAACTTTCCGAAGTGCACGTTCATGTGGCCGAAGTCGTCCTCGAATTCCCCCAAGGTTGTCAAAATTATGATCCCTTTTGGGGTCCCTATGATAATACGGCACCGAATTTTTAGGGTGTCCAAAAAGGGGGCCCTAATTTTGACAACAACCCACATAGGAGTCATAGGAGAAGAGATCTCTGAAGTCCGAAAGACAAGTCTCCAGATGGCTAAGCTCCGCACTCAAGGGATTAAGACTCGTACCCCTAGGTACCCCTAAGAGGTTCCCCTTCAAATAATCCTGGTATGGCCCTTGTATTCCTTGGGAACCTTTCCGTTTTTGATTCTGGGTTGCCCTTACAAAGTAGCCAACCCCAATTATCGTATGGGTCTGGGCTACGAAGATTCCCGAAGGGATCTTTACAAAGGTTTCCCAAAACTCAAGGGTACAACCTTAGTGGTCCAAGGCCCCCTGGATACACACCATAAAGCTTCACCCTAAACCATAAACCCTAACCCGAAACCCCACACCCTAAACCCTAAGCAAACGCTCCAAAGCCGGTATTTAAGGAGTAGAGGATGGACGCTTCAGGTCCCATAGTGCCTTGGGGGTATGTATGGGGTGTGCCCCTACTCTTGGGCGAATGCCCATTTTTGGGACAACTTGGGTCCATAGGGACCCCGAGTATCCCATGACAGCGCCGTCCGTACCAGCGTTTCGAGGCCAGTTCCCTGTGGCCGGGACCGCTTCCGCCTCTGGAGAGGCGCTACAGCTGGAGACAGCAAGAAGCTGCAAGAAGTTGTTTCGCAAGGCAGCAGGATGTTTCCGGAATCCTGCAACTTGGCTATAGATCGACGTCTACAAACCTACGCCTTGGGATGTTCCCCCCTTGTTGTAACAGTCCTTAGTCGGGATTATAGTACCCCCCCCATTTATAATCCCCATGAAGGACTGTTAGTATACGCGAGAGCATCCCATCCTACGCCGCAAGTCAGCGACCGAACAACCGCAACCAGCCTGTGAGCCCCGGAACTGTGTTTCAGCCCACGGCTTTTTACGTCTCTAAGACTCAGTTGCTGAAACACCCGCTATTCAATATCGTGTTGCAGGGTTGTTGGTGTGTGTGTATACTTATATATGTATATGTGTTTTTTTTTGTGGGCGGGGGGGGGGGGGGAAACCTGAAAGCAGAAGCTGTTAATGTTTTTGTAGGGTTATAGGGATTATTGGGCCCACAAGCATGTGCAATACTCCTGGCCTATCAATCCTCGGCTGACAGGTGAGGCCCTCATGGGGTTGACCTAAGTTGTGGGACCATTCTGGGCCTGTATTGAACCCTAAACCCTAAACCCCAAACCCTAAACCCTAAACCCTAAACCCTAAACCCTAAACCCTAAACCCTAAACCCTGAACCCTAAACCCTAAACCCTAAACCCTACCAGCCCCAACATCCCATTAGCCCTCTACAGCCTCCGGCTGTAGCGCCAGGCGGCCAACCGTTTCGCTTCAGCGGCCTTTGACGGACAGGTGGACACGTTCTGGTGGCCGTGGCCTCATGTCTTGATATCTGGATGGTTTAGGGTTTAGGGTTTAGGGTTTAGGGTTTAGGGTTTAGGGTTTAGGGTTTAGGGTTTAGGGGTCATGTCTTGATATCTGGGTAGCCCAGTGGTACCCGCTGCCCTTGTTTTGGTTCAAGGTTCCCTTACCAACCTGGGCTACCGAGTTGATATCTGCAAAGTCCTATTCCATTTCAAGCTCAGGGTTTTTTTATTATGGGACTCCAAGTTTACAAAGAATGCCTGTCACAGATGAGCTCTCTTCTGGCTAGTTGGGGCCATTGGGTTAGGTTTACCGGACATCCCGAAACCACCTCCGAAGATCCCGGGACCTAAGACGTCAAGAATCAAGAGTTGAGGCGGAACCACGTACTAGGTTGTGGTAACCGGCTTGCTGAATATACATACATCCTCGCAATACCGTTTTGAAGAGCATGCTAGTAAGGACCCGGACCATCATCGCAGTCTAATGGCAATCGAAGTGGCGAACATCAATAAATGAGAAGTAGGTCGAGCCGGAACAGCAAAACTCCTGAAGACTGGAGGCTTTAAAATATCAAAGCCTGAATTCCGTTCTCTCCCGAGACTTCGTCAAACCGACCCATCTGAAGAATGCGTCATACTGCTCCCGAAGAAGGTCTTCTAAACAGCAATTAAACCCTTCCTCCCATTCCTCCCCTACCTCCTCGAGGTCGCAGGAGGCCCCAGGGGCAGGTGAGGCGCCTCCGTCTCAGCGCTGGAGATCAGGAAGTCAAACAAGCCGGAGCATTGGGCTTGCGGGGTCCTGGTCAGGGTTTCGGGTTTAGGGTTTAGGGTTTAGGGAGAGTCCCCCAAGCTGGGACGCAAGACTCAAGAAATCCTGGGGCCAGAACGCCAGAAGCTCCCAACCTCAGAGCCCATAAAGCCAACAGACACTTCGGACTACCACAGGCATATGGGGTTCGCGATCATAGAGGACCCTTAAATGGACCCCCCAAATAGTAAGATCCCCTAAAAACAAGGACCCCAAGAAGGTACCCCTAATTTCCGAAACCCCATAATATGGGCTCGCATGTCTAATTTGGCAACTTGGAAGTCTGAACTTTTGGGCGCTCAACGGTTTAGGGGGAGAGCCCTTTCTCCGGGGGTCGGGTGAGCTTAGGGCTTCCACATCTGTTGGCATTTGAAGCGTGTTCGTGGGATTCCTAAACCCTAAGCCCTCAACCCTACACCCTAAACACGAACCCTAAACCCTATCAACCCTCATAGAGTTCGTGAAGTACTTCCTATAACATTCTGCCCTGAGCGCCTGGCATCCCACCACCATGTAACCCAACACGCTTAGGCCCCCTCCAAGTCCCCAATTCGCCCCGGACCTCCCTCCAAAGAACTCTCCTGGGCCATCATTCCCCTTTTTGCAGCCGTACCCCTGTTGGCGCTTTGTTTTGGTGCTACACTCCCAGTTGCTGTCGCCTGCAATACCCGAATCCAAGAAGCACACGATTTTCACGACCCCTCCAGAAACGTCCCTAAACCCTAAACCCTAAACTCTAAAAAACCCAAGAGACAAGGTGGCTAGGCCGGGCTTTCAGCACACCTCTGATCGTTCGGCCCGGGCCCTTTGTCAGCTCACTTGGTGGAGTTCCAGCGGGACGTATCTAGGGGTTGGGCCGGGTGGTCCAGAGTTTCCATACACAGAGGTTAGGTTTGGGGTTAGCGTTTGCGGTTTAGTGTTAAGGGTTTAGGGTTTATGCTGTCTTAAGTCTAGACAGATGTATCAGGGGGGCTTTTGTCGGGCTTGGGTGTACAGGAGAGGTGAACCAAGCTTCTGTGTGTTGTAGCCGCCGGCTTCTGAGTCCGTTATAGGGCTTCGTATAGGCCCGTGTGGAAACTGGGCTGAGAGTGAGGCTTCTTTCTCTCCAGCTTAAGGATTTCGAGCCCTTTAAAACCCTAAACTCTCAACCGCAGCTCCCCGTTCGATTTGGGGCTCTTGCCTCAAGTCTGCAGCTACTTTTCAGGGTTTGCCGTCAACCTCCTTGAGCACTCGACCTTCATGACATCTTTTGCTGACCAGCCCCCTGAGCGACTTGAACCTGCCAGGGCAGAATCCCTAAACCCTAAAACCTAAACCCCCTAAACCCTTTATAAACCCTAACGAGCCTAGACCCCAGAGAAGACTCAAGGATATTGGGGCTAGGGGGTTCCTTTTGGGAACCATGAGTAGGGATGCATGAGTGTTGTCGAGGTGTGTCCAGATAGTCCTGGACAGCACCGAGGGCTTTCGCGCAGAACTGAGTTAGGGTGTAGGGCCTAAACCCCAAACCCTAAACCCTAAACCCTAAACCCTAAACCCTAAACCCTAAACCTTAACCCTAAACCCCAAACCCTAAACCCTAGACCCTAAGCCCTCAGCCTTGCCTGCTTCAGCAAGTGCGAGAGTCGAAACCCTAAGCCCTCATCCCTGATCCTTAAATTGTGGGCTTCACGGCCTTCTGAAAGCCCGTAAACCCTAAACCCCAAGCCCTAAGCCCTAAACCCTAAACCCTAAACCCTAAACCCTAAACCCTAAACCCTAAACCCTAATCCTTCTAAATATTCCCGTTCCCGTATTTCGCAGTAGCATTGCCTCTTCTTTGGTCACCTTAGGCCGGTGGGAGGGGATTCAAATGTTGGAAAAGAATCCTGCGCCTCCGAGGTTTAGGGTTTAGGGTTTAGGGTTTAGGGTTTAGGGTTTAGGGTTTCTGACTGGCTCCCTGGGAAGCCTACCATCATACCCTGTAATCGATCCCAAGCCTAGCTCTCCCCATCCTCATGAAGGGAGAGGTGGGGGATGTGCACCTTGTGCGAGTCTAAACCCTGAGCTTGGCGGGGTCTAGGGTTTAGGGTTTGGGGTTTGGGGTTTAGGGTTTAGGGTTTAGGGTGACATGCACGAAATACATGGGCAAGATGAAAGCTACTTGAACCAGCAGACGAATCTGATTGGTCAGAAGCATGCATGAGGAACGCAGGGGCATATCAGTCAGAACTGAGAGTGTGGCGGGAGTTTCACTTGAGAGAGTCGGTCCCCTTGAGAGCTGTTAGTGTTGTTACTTATGAAGTATTGGCTCTTGAGCGTCCCGTGTTGGGCGGGGCATGATAGGGAGACTAGCGAACATCATTTCGATCGGATGTCGGGGTATCCCTCTGAAACACTACCAACAAACTGAAGCGTTGACGGCCGTGCGCGAGTGTGAGAGTCGAAACCTTTTGTATAGAGGTGACCCGTAAACCCTAAACCCTAAACCCTCAACCCCCCACCACCATGTTGAGCATCGGAGGAGTCAGGCCGAAACACGCACATGACGAACTGCACCCCTTAGCCCCAAGTAGGGGCGAGAGATGCTTGACAGTAAGCCCCCTTGAACCCTGAAACCCCAAAACCCTAGACCCTACACCTTAAACCCTAAACCCTCAACCCTAAACCCTAAACCCTGCTTTGCGGTTCGGCAAGCTATGCGGGAGTGAATACATCCGAAGCTGCACAGCGGTACACCTGACCGAGGGCCCACCTCCCTGCAGCTGCAGTCGCGGCCGGAAGTCGACGGGCTCTCAGCCATCACCTTGGGGTTTAGGGTTTAGGGTTTAGGATTTAGGGTTTAGGAGGGTTTAGGGTTTAGGGTTTCAGGTTAGGGTTCATACTTACCCGGCAGACTTCAGTGGCCTGGATGTAAAAGGTTAGGGTTCAGATTCAGGGACTAGGGTTTAAAAGGGTTTGGGGGCATTCGCTGGCTGGCTTTCGCTGGCAGTCAACAACTTCGGTTTGGGGTTTAGGGTTTTTGGGGTTTCGGGGTGAAGGGGTTTAGGGGAAAAGGGGCTTAACCTAAACTGGACAGGGGGTAATTCAGAGTTGAGGGCGACCTGCATACGAAGGAACTCTAAATGGTCAGGCACATCCTGTACTTTGGGGGTTTGGAGTCTTGGGGTTTGGGGGCTTTGTGCTTGGCCTGACAAAAAAGCCTATCTGTTCAACTCCTAAGCCCTGTCTCTGAGCGCCATTACGCCCCCGGACATGACCTTGGGGTTTAGGGGTTAGGGTTAGGGTTTAGGGTTCCAACGTGTTGAGCACAGAAGACTTCAGAGCTGACTGAAGTGCGGTTCAGGGTAGTTCGGCCATCGGACTTTACAGGCCTTCATGATTGTGAAAGGGAGCTTTTGGTGCTGGGGACCGACTATGTTTTGGAGGGTGCTTCAAGAGCTGAGAAGTAGTTTCATGCTCGGAGGAGGACTGAGTGCAGTTGCTTTGCGTTTGCTGTTTTGATGGTGGACATCCTGGCGGTTGAGATTTTCAGCTCCGGGTGTGGCAGTATATGGGTTGCTCTCTATCCCTATTTTACCCTTAATAAGGAAGATTTTAAGACAACAATCATCGGGGTTCTTAAGCAATTAGTAGTTCTTGGTCAGTCGGACCCTCTGTTTCTCGTAGCCATGGTCGGGAGAGGGGCTTTCTCTGCCTATTTGATGGTTTTGATCGGGACTGTTGGGGTTTTAGCGTATTTAGGGTTTAGGGTCGCCTAAACCCTAAACCCTAAACCCTAAACCCTAAACCCTAAACCCAGTCTCTCTTAAAGCCTATTTGTTTGTCCGCGCCCTCAGAAGGCAGAAGGAGCTCCATCAGACTCCGCCTTGGGATGTTCCCCCTGATACTAACCGGGTTTAGGGTTTAGGGTTTAGGGTTTAGGGTTTAGGGTTTAGGGTTTAGGGAGGCTCTTGGGACGTTTTTTAGTTTCCCTTTCTGGGTTTAAGAGGATCATGGTCAGGAACATTTTTTCAGAGGGTTTTAAGGGCCATCCCAGTAACAGTCTAGGACCGGGAGTAGGCACTTTTTTCCTGTTCTTAGGCTTGGGGTTCCCTTATAATCCCCTTAAACCACAAAGGGCACCCTTGTTATTCCTAGGCTACTCCCGGGTCTAGTACTTACAGCACGTAATAAGGATTTTCGCGCCCCCTACAAAAACTCCAAGGACTGTTAGTATAAGGGGGTGCGAACAGTCCTTTATAAGGAATATAGTCCCCTACAAACCCCCTGTTAAGGACTGTTGGTTTCAGGGAGAGCATTCCAGACTCCACCAACCCTAAACCCGAAACCCTAAACCCTAAACCCCAAACCCCAAACCCTAAACCCTAAACCCTAAACCGAAACCCTATACTCACAGAAGCCCTCAAGACCCCAAAACACCGATGCCGTCGGCAGGGCACGGCCTGGCAGAACCATCGGTTTAGGATTTAGGGTTTCGGGTTTAGGGTGTAGGGGTTTAGGGTTTTAGGAGGTGAGGCCTTCCCAGCAACCTCTTTGAGGCCTGGATGCTAAGAGAGGAGTTTAGGCCTTGTAGGTCTAGAGGTTTTAGGGTTTAGGGTTTGGGGGTATCTGGGCTCTTCGATGCATGCTCAGGGTCCTGGCAAGCTGGGGTCCAACCCTCCGCTTGTCCTGCGGCTCAAAGACAGGCTTAGCCGCCGTACGCGCCTTAACCGCACTCCAACGGCAGGTAGTACTCATGATAGGACCTAAACCTTAAACCCCATAAGCCCTACAAAGCCCTATACATCCCAAACCCTGGGCACCCTGAAGAAATCAAGCCAAGGATCAATTCAGTTTCTTGGATCAGTTGGCTCAATGTAGTCGCCATCGCCCCCTTGAGGTCTACGCGAATGGCATATGGGTGCATGCACCTTGCGCGGTGCAATGAGCCCCAACAGGGTTTTCCAAATAATGCCAACGAATCCTAAGCCCTAAACCTACACCCTATACCCTAAACCCTAAACCCTAAACCCTAAACCCTAAACCCTACAAACCGGAACAGAGTCGCCTGCGCCATGGATACGGGGGTTTTGGAGGCCGGGGTGCCAGGGGCGCGTCTATGGGGGACCCATAGACACGCCATGGGCATGGGGACCGGCAGTGGGGGTTTAGGGGTTGGGGTTTTGGAGGTTTAGGGTCCTGAAGCAAGCAGGGTTTCGGGTTTAGAGTGGTCCATGTCGGCCTCGTCGCTAGATTCTGCCCAATTTCCACAGGCATGCCCATTAGGATTGGTGGACAGAGGTGCAGACTGTCACGCGACCGCGGGTTTGCGGGCTTCGGAATTTTTAGGGTTTGGGGTATCCCTCGAACCCTAACCCTAGATGCCACCGTCATCTTCATCCCAGTCCCCCCAACGATGCAGTGAACCCTGAACTCAGAGCTGGGGTGGGTGATTCAGGGCTGCACTGGATGAAGATCCCAAATACGTGTAGATGGTCCTAGTCTGCATGTAGGTGCAAGTTTTGGTACAAAGAATTTTAGCTAGGGTTTACGGTTTAGGGTTTAGGGTTTAGGGTTTAGGGTTTAGGGTCAAAGAGTTTTAGAAGGTTTTTTGAAGGTTCCCGGGTCCAAGGCGAACGTGTGCTCGCTGCCCAAGAGGGGTTTGTTCAGAATCAGGGCCCCTCTTTTCACCCCTGAACCCTCATACTAGCAGAATTTACTGTATACAACTGCAGTGTAATTCATCGCATGTTGTCGTTTCTGAATACGGCGTACTACTCAAGCGGACCATTTCATGGTATACTCCTCGTACTTACAGCATACTGTACTGTAGTAGTAGACTACTATGGTATACATTACAGAAGACTGTTAATACCATCAGAACGCCCCGAACCTAGCCTGCCAAGTCACATGGATGAGGAGAAAGCAGGCATGGTCATCAAGCATCCGGAGCATCCAAGCCCAATAGCCGTCCATGCCAGGGGACCCCAAACCCCAAGCTCTAAACCCTAAACCCTAAACCCTAAACCCTAAACCCTAAACACTAGGTCTTTCTGCCATGGCAGACAGCGGCACCACTGGCACCGACCAGGATGTGTTTGATCTGGAAGTGGATCTGGAAGTGCCTGACGAGGCCCATGCCAGTGGCCTAACGCTGAAGCAGGTCAGCAGCTTCATGGCAAGAATGGAGCTGACAGACCCCAGCATGCTCCGTGCAGTGTGCTGCCATGATCTTTTGGGCGGCTTTGGGCGAGTCTTGAGAGAAAGGGACAAGTCGGCCTACAGACTTAGCAAGCCAGTGCCCAGCATTGGCTCTTTCATATCGCACAGCTGGCAGAGTTCGATGCTTCTCAAGATCTTGCTCCTCATGCTCCTACACAATGGCGCGCCTGCAGCGACAGCTGGGACCCTGGCTGCAACGGTTGCGACGGTCTTTTCGGCCTCAGACCTTCTGCCTGGGTACGTGAGATATTCTTCGGAATTCCAACAGGAGTACGAGTATGCCCCGTGGTGCCTAGCTGCAGGTCTTCTAGTAGCTCTGCTGACCTTTCTCTTCTGGCGGCCAAAACGCAAAGTCTTCGTGGACTTCGTCTGCATCGATCAGAGAACTGACGAGGCAAAATGTCTGGGGATCGCGAATGTGGGTGCCGTCCTGAAGAACTCGACGTCCTTGTTGGTGCTGTATGACAGCAGCATCATCAAAAGGCTTTGGTGTCTATACGAGATGGGTGCATTCATGAAAAGCCACGAGCATCTTCCAGAGGAGGCTCTGACCATGCGGCCTGTTTTCCTTGCACCATTGCTGTCAGGAATGATTCTGTGCTTCATCTTTGTAGCTCTTCTGCCCTTAGTTAATCAGAGCAGTCCGTTGACCATGGCACTCTACGCCGTCTTGATGGTTGCCCCACCCATTGTCTTCGCCGTCCAGATCAAGACCTACGCCTCGTCCGTTGAGGCCATGCGCTCGGAGCTAAAAAGCTTTGTCATGCAGAACGCGACATGCTCATGCTGCGAAAGCAATCTCTGTGGGGAAGCCGGTCTGTGCGACAGGAAGCTCTTGACAGACTGCGTGCAACAGTGGTTTGGCAGTATCGAGGAGTTTGAAGCCTGTGTTCGCTCCAGAGTGTCTCAGTCGTTGCAGAGCCACTTGGGCCAGCTGCCCCTGACATATTCCATGGTGCTCTGTGCTTCCACGCCCTTCCTTTGGTACAGGATGGGCGTTCTTGCCGGCATCCTCCTTGTAGGCGATCTTTCGCAGGCTCTGGCTCATGGCTGTCGTACCTTGCAGTGGTGGCTCTTGGTCATCCCCATGTTGTTTACTGCTGCGATCGACATGGCACACTTGCTTCGCCGACGCCGTTGCAACAATTGCTGGGATGCCATGGTCATCGTGCTGACCTTCTCCCTGGTAGTCGTGGCGGGCCTAGGAATGACCGTCCTCGGGGGACACCTGTTGCCATCCGTGATTCCGAACCCCGTCCATGGCAACATCATTTCAATGACATGCACGATGGCGGTGGCAGTCTTGTACTATTGCCTCCGACCCTTCATCAAAGATCGGCAGCTCTGATGATCCCAAACATCAACCCCTCACTCAACCCCTGCGGCAAGGCACAACTAGATCTAATGCTTCGGCTCTGAACAGGGGTTGGAGTTGGATCTCGGCAGTCAGCCTTAGTAATGTAGCCGTGGCTCATATGTTTCACCTGTCAGCAGGCAACCGCTGTGAACAAGATTTCGCCCCCAACATGCCACAGACAAACCGCGCCTGTTGTGGATGCTCGCGGTACGGTTTGTGTCCGACCGTAGCACCTGATACGAACCCAAAACCCCAAACCATTAACCCTTAACCCTTAACCCTAAACCCGGTCCAAAACCCAAAGCAGAGCAGTGCATCTTAGCCAACCCGGATTTTCGCGCCCGCCTGCTCTAGTCCCTCGATTCCGACTAGACCCTGAGCCCTACGCCCTCAACACGCCTACTATAGTATGTTCTAGTCTACTATAGTATACTGTAGTCTACTATAGTAAACTGTAGTCTACAATAGTCTACTGCAGTCTACTATAGTAAACTATAGTCCGCAATAGTATACTGTAGTCTACTAAAGTAAAGTATAGTCTACAATAGTATACGGTAGTCTACTATAGTAAATTGTAATCTTCTATAGTATACTGTAGTCTACCATAGTATACTGTAGTCTACTATAGTTTCAGAACTGGACGGTCCATGGTATGTTCTGGGAAATTACAGGCCAAGGGGGGATCTCAGATCAGGACTATAGGGTTTATTACGGCACTGCTCGCACCTTCAGACTCGAACAGTTCCTGAACATGGGTTTGAGCGTTAGTTGGTGCCATGTGTGAGGGGATCCCAACTTGCAAACTTCGCAAACATGGACAGTTCTGAATCCCGCACACCGAACCGAACCTGCAAACCCTGCGTCCTGCATGCTCTCCAACAGGTCGTGTACCCGAAGATGGATCCCCAAGCCCCTAAAGGCGCGGAGGCATCTGCGGAGGGTTTGGGGTTTATAGGGTTTAGGGTTTAGGGTTTAGGGATCAGAGGCCCCTGGCGCACTCGTCGTCACAGGCCCCCGTTTTGGAGGACAACCTTTGATGGATCTTCATGGACACCCAGTTGCGGTAGCTACAGTGTCCCTTTGATCCTTACCTCCTTTAAGGGGTTGTGAAGCGGGGTGTGTAAGGGGTGCCCATTTAAGGCCCCATACTCAGGGACCCTGCAACTACCCTCTTGTACCGAAATTGAGGCCTGTTCCCTTAAAGGAAATATTGCCTCTCTCTGACTACAGAGGGTCTTCCTGATTTCTGAGGATGGGGGGCTCTGGTGCAGTGGGATGAACAAGGGTTTAGGGTCCCCGACTCGTTCGATGTTTTGTCTTGGTGTGTGTTACTAGGTTTTCAGGGGTCAGCAGTGATCAGAAGTTAGATCGCGACGCAGATCCCAAATGGGCTCTTCGGAATCATGTTGTCAGCAACCCTGAACGCATATCTAAGATATAGATACAGATACAGATACTGCTATGATCCCTCACACATGGCACCAACTAACACTCAAACCCATGTTCAGGAACTGTTCGAGTCTGAAGGTGCGAGCAGTGCCGTATAAAACCCTATAGTCCTGATCTGAGTTCCTATACTATAGTAGCCTACAGTACTATGGTAGAGTACTACAGTATACTATAGCAGACTATAATCTACTATACTGGACTACATTCTAGTATTGTAGACTACAGTTTACTACAGTAGACTACAGTTTTCTATAGTAGACTTGAACATGCTATAGCAGGCGTGTTGAGGGCGTAGGGCTCAGGGTCTAGGCGGAATCGAGGGGCTAGAGCAGACGGGCAACGCGAAAATCCGGTTTAGCTAAGATGCACTGCTGTGCTTTGGGTCTTGGGGTTTATGGTCGTATCAGGTGAAACCGCGAGCATCCCCACAACAGGCGCGGTGTGTCTGTGGCATGTTTGAGCAAGCTTCGGGTACGCGCTCCAAATTTTGGGTCGCATGCACTCATGCATGGAGTTTAGGGTTTAGGGTTTCGCGTCCGGAGAGCATGCAGGACTGCGCAGGGTTTGTAGGTTCGGCTCGCTTTGCTGGGATTCAGAATGTCGATGTTTGCAAAGTTTGGAAGTTGGGTTCCTGTGACCACCCCGAGGAACCACGAGACCAAAGATCCGCCCACTGGGGGAGCTTTGGGAAGCTCAGGGCCAGAAGTCATAGCAAAGGTTTAGGGTCAAGATTCTTGAGTTCAGCCTCTTGGGCCAAGATGTGTTTGTGCGGCACCCAGAAAAACTCTTAGCCCTGAACACGGTGCTCAGTTCATGAAGCCTCTGCCACCTGGTTACCTTGCATACAGTGATTGCCCATCAGAGAGCATCTGGTTCCAGAGCCGGGATGCAACATGGGGCCTATCTACACGAATAGGGCAATAGTGCAACAGGGTTTATAGGGCTTAGGCTATGTGATCCCAATGTTTCGCTTATATACGCGCATAGGGCAAGAGGGATTCAATGGGGTTTAGGGTTTACAGGCTGGCTTAGGGTATATGATCTCAATTTTTGAGGTCGCTGAGTACCCAAGCATCGGGATTGGAGGTTGCAAATGCTGGCGGTTACGTGGTGTTGAAGGGGTTTGCGGCCTCTCTTTTGTGACTTTCTGATTCCAGGGTTCAATTTCAGTTCAGTGCTGCCCGCGCACACGGCTCTTGTTGTTTGACCAGCCTGGGTTAAGATTCGGTTGTCCGGTGGCTCAAGCAAAGGTTTAGCAGCCAAGTTCCCAACCATACGCCTAAGGCGGGTTGGTCATGACAAGAGGCAGGGCGGGATCTCCCAAGTCGTGACCCTGACCCCTAAACCCGAAACCCAAGCATGATCCTACCCCAAGGCATGCATGCGCCCGCAACCCTACCCTAAACCTACTTATATTTTTGCGACACAAGCCCTGGCTTGTATAGGGATCTTAGGTCACCTACAAAAACAGGCGGCTTGGGGTTCTTAAGGTAAACCCGAAACCTTACACCCTGACGTGGTTGCTCTCTAGCCACACGGGCGTATGGGGCCGGGTGGTTGTTGAGGCTTTGGCTATATAGGAACAAACGGGCTACATGGACCTTTACCTTATAGTAACCCAAAGCCTACTTGTGTGTACTTAGGTTGTTACGAAAAAGAACCCTTTATGGGATTCTTAGGGAACCTACAAAACAGGTGACTTTGGGTTCTTGTCGGGTTGTGGTTGCAGCGTGCTGTCTTTGGATGTCATTGAGGTGGGCCCCTGGGGTCGTCTTCTGAATGAAGATGAGGCACCCCACGGCTACTCCCTATAAACCCTAAACCCTAAACCCTAAACCCTAAACCCTAAACCCTAAACCCTAAACCAAAACCCCAAACCCCACGCTCAGTTGCACAGATATCAGAGACAGCGCCGAGTAAGCCCTCGGCCGGTAACAGCGAGAAGGGTAGGGTTTAGGGTTGAGGGTTTAGGGTTGAGGGTTGAGGGTTTAGGGTTTAGGGTTTAGGGAAGTTTAGGGTTTAGGGTTAATCTACACGAGTTTAGGGTTCAGGGCAGATGGCTTGAGATCAGCGCATCGGAGGCCCTGCCTTGCCCAGAACCAGGTCCTTCCTGCAAAGAAGGTGGCTACCATGGCAAGTCGAAGCACGCAAAAGAACTCGAGGACGATTCTTGGCAGCACTTGAAGGGTTTCAGGGTTTGGGGCTTAGGGTTTTCTGGCACACAGAGTGGGCCCGTATTCCCCTCTTCTTTTGGGTTCAGGTTCCACTATAAGCCCCTTAAAACCAACAAGGGGCGCGCTGTTCATTCCCACCCAACTCTTGAGTCTAGTTGTAGACCACAGGGTTTCAGGGTTTTACGCTTTGGGGGTTCGGGGCAGGGTGCCAGCCCGCCCCCTGGCGCAGGGAGCTGCGTGTTGTTCTGGCGTCCGCCGCATGGGCAGATGCCGCCAAGCCCGAAAAAACCCAACAATCTTAGGGCTTATAGGGGTTAGAGTTAAACCCTGTCGGCTCATGTTGGTTGAGGGGCTACTCATTCTGCATGAGTAGCGCAGAAAAGGACCCCTTCTTGCTGATTCCAGGCCATTTTGTACCCCTGCGGTAGGGTTTAGGGTTTAGGGTTTAGGGTTTAGGGTTTAGGGTTTAGGGTTTAGGGTTTAGGGTTTAGGGTTTAGGGTTTAGGTTTAGGGTTTAGGGTTGCTGGTGGCAAAAAGTCCTGTCAGACTCAAAACGCCCTACGCATCCTTCCGAGGCTTGGTGGCGGTGACCCTGCCCGGCTCTCAGCTGGTTTAGGGTTTAGGGTTTCGGGTTTAGGGTTAGGGTTTAGGGTTTAGGGTTTAGAGTTTAGGGTTTAGGGTTTAGGGTTTAAGGTTGGGGGTTTAGGGTTTAGGGTTTAGGGTTTAGGGTTTAGGGTTTAGGGTTTAGGGTTTAGGCTTGCTGGCAACTTCAGGTGTCGGAGTACCTCTGTCGTTTGCTATTTCGGTTTTAGGGCTTCGGGTGTACATGGGCCTTACCCTAAAGCCTTAAAAAAACCTTACAGCAAGAGGACTTTGGGGATAATTCTATCTGACGGCCACTTCCCTGTTTTGCATTGGGGCCGGCTGCTTGATTTTCGATGCTGCGTGGCAAGAGACAGGATGTTCTTCTGGAACATGTTTCAGAAGGCTTGAAGGGCCAACCGTGTGCATTCGCCAAACTAAACGCTTTTGGGAAAAGGGGGTTTGGACGGACCGGATCTTCAGTTCCATGTTCGTCATGCTCAGTTTAGGGTTTAGGGTTTAGGGTTTAAGGGTTTAGGGTTTAGGGTTTAGGGGTTTAGGGGTTTAGGGGTTTAGGGTTTAGGGGTTTAGCGTTTAGGGGCCTGCAGGTCTCGTATGGGGAGTTGAGCTTGGTGGTATGATGGGGGGCCCCAATGTAGACCATCGTGGGTCGCCTGCGTGGAGGAGGGTCTCACACAAAAGGCTCAATACAGGAGCCGAAATGTTTGTGTTCAGGGTTCAGGGTTTAAGGTTTCGTGTCCTTGGCATCCCTAAACCAAAGCAAACATGCATTCTATGGCACACGGGGTCATGTGCCTGGTAGCAGACCAGACGAATTCCCAAACCTAGGCGTCCCTAAGCCCGGGATCCGAATTTAACCTAGCCTTAGTCCCTAAACCCTAAACCCTAATTAAGCTCTCGCTCTCTACAGTTGCCCCGTGGAGCATGGCTAGACGGGTGGCAATTAAAACCCTGAACCCTAAACCCTAAACCTATAAACCCGAACTATACATCAGTTCGGCACTTCCGCTCCTCGGCTAGGAGGCGGAAGCAGATGCAAAGAAGAAAAAGAAGAAGGACCTCCACTGGAGTTTAATAGGGTTTAGGGTTTAGGTCTATCATCGACCTGCCCCCCCACTCCACCCACCCACCCTAAGTAGCTACCTGCCATTCCGGAGTCTCCAGCTAACCCTGCGCAGCATCTCCAGATCCTCGTCACCCTACCCGGATACCCGTCAGCACCCAACCCTTGGAAGTTGTTGGCCGAGAGCAAAAAGCAAGGATCCATCAGGGTAGTGGGGGGATGGGCGGATGAAGGCTTGGGGCCATGCGGAGACACAGAAGAAGGGGCTTGAAGTTCTCCTTTAACTCGACTGCGATGCTTTCCATTCAAACTGCGTGTGCCTCCAAATGGTGCTGGATCATGTTTAAGGCCGCTTTGGCTTCATCACAAAGAGGGGGTGCGGAAAAGAGAACCATTGAGGTGGAAGCCCTAAACCCTAAACCCTATATAGCCAAACCTTCGAGCCCTTGGAGCCTTACAAAGCCCCAAGCCCTCTTTTGCAGAGCCCAACCCTACACTTTGCCTAGGCAAATGTCCCATTCGGCCTACCAGAAAGTACTCCTTTGGGTGCCCAGAGCTCCAGCGAAGCCCAAACCCTATTATAACTTATACCCCCCAAACCCTAAATCCTAAACCCTAAAGGCCTAAAACCTTAAAACCCCACACCCTAAACCCTAAACAAGGAGCGGGATCCGTTAGACTGGGAAGATGACAAGTTCCCGAAGATGGCGGAGCGGCCGGCCATTTCCTCAGAAGAGACTGCGGGGATCCGGGGTTGTTCTCGGGGGGCGGGGGGGGGGTCTTCTAGGGTTCGGGTTTAGGGTTTTGGGTTTAGGGTTTAGCGTTTAGGGTTTAGGGTTTAGGGTTTAGGGGTGGGAGAAATCCAAACTGAGCCCAAGTCCCTGTTTTTGGGAGGTTGAAAGGGCTCCTTGGCTCTCCGTGCCAAGAGACCCTCAGTCCTAAAACCATTGCAACCCGAAGTTGCCACGAAACCCTCTAAAGGTTTAGGGTTTGGGGTTTAGGGTTTAGGGTTTAGGGTTTAGGGTTTAGAGTCAGGGCAGACACTCCTCGGCATCAGCACGGGTTCAAAAAAGGGTTAGGGTGTAGGGTTTTGGGTTCACCCAAATTGATCCTGAATCCTTACACCCGCCCAGTCATTAAACCCTAAGTTGTTTCCAAACCCCGAAACCCTAAACCCTATGCCTGCAAGGAAAAATCCCTCAGCCTTGCTCTTAGGTGGAGCAAGCGCAAATAGACCCGAGCTACCTGGCAAAGATGCGCCAGGAGGCGATGGCTTTGGCTTGCTTAGGGTGTTTTTTTTAGGGTTTGGGGTTTAGGGCGAGCTTTCTGGGGAGTGAGGGTCTACATGATAGTGTCCGGATTTGTGGTTGGGCCCAAATCCAGGCAGTCAAAACCTCTTGCAGAAGGGCATTCTGCCCACATTTTGACCCAAATTACAAGCCTTTCACATCCTTGGAGCATGTGGTCTACGAAATTAGGAAACCCCCAAAATAGATCCCCAAAATAGTACGTAGGATCCCCTGTGATAATAAGGACCAGTACGGTACCCCTAATTTCGGACCACCCCCACATGTTCTTCGGCCTTCCAAGCCCACATCGCCATGTCTATGAGAGCAGGTACGCAGAGACGAGAAGGCCCTAAACCTGTCATGCAGCAGAAGCCCGCCTACAAACCCCTTAGAAAACGCCCTGATAAACCCCAAACTAAACGGCCATACAAGTGGATGAACCTTCAAACCCTCAAACCCCAACCCCAAACCCTAAACCCTAAACCCTAAACCCTAAACCCTAAACCCTAAACCCTAAACCCTAAACCCTAAACCCTAAACCCTAAACCCTAAACCCTAAACCCTAAGCAGGCCAAAAAGCAGTACATCGAAGCCCTGGGCCCGGATCCGGCAAAGGTCCAGCGGACGTGGAAGTGACCCCTCCCTCCTGCCCCTCCCCCCTCAGAAAACTTACTGGTTTAGGGTTTAGGGTTTAGGGTTTAGGGGTTTAGGGTTCAGGGTTCAGGGTTCAGCATCTCAAGTTCGAGCATTTGCAAGGCCAGCAGTGTGCGCAGGCAACGAAACAAACCCACCCGCCCAAAGAATGCCATAACATTACGAAAATAGAAAGTTCAAAAAATATTCGTGCTTGCGTAAATCCACGACGGACTTGCCTAAATCCACGAAGGACTTGCCTAAATCCACGAAGAACTTGCCTGAATCCACGAAGGGCTTGCCTGAATCCACGAAGGACTTGCCTAAATCCACGAAGGACTTGCCTAAATCCACGAAAGACTTGCCTAAATCCACGAAGTATTTGCCTTATTCTACGAAGTTGCAAATGTTTAAATAAATAAATAAATACATCAATAAATAAACAAGTAAACAAATAAATAAATATTAAATAAAAATATATGTATATATATGTATAAATATATTTGTTTATTTATGTTTATATGAAGAGAGGGTTAAGGGTTAAGGGTTTAGGGTAGGGAATGATAGTTATCCCATATGTGTACGTATATCCTTTGTTCACGGAAGAAATATAGGGTATCTTTATTCCCTCATTCTAAGAACCAGGGGGAGAAGGGGTCAGGGTTCAGGTGTTCCAGAGCAGGACAAGAAGGTTGATGGGCCCATTGGGCCTTCCTGGGACTATTTACCAACAGTTTTTAGTAGTAACCCTTAATGAGTAGGGATGACCCATAAATATTTACCTACAGATTCCTAGTAACTACCCTTAATTAGTAGCCAGAACCCATAAACACTGCAGGGAAAAAGAGGGTCCCAGCTGGAGTTCAGGGTTTCCTGGGGCAGTTGTGGTTTTAAGGGTTTAAGGCCTTGGACTTCAGAGAGGTCGCAGCAGGCAGTGGTGCGGATTCCTGTTGCCAAGGTCAGGGTTGGGCCTTCCTTACGACCCGTTGTGTGTTTAAGCACCCTGCTTCCAAAAAGCATGAAGAAAGGTTTCCTGAAGCTTCAGTTCATGATATTCTTCGCTCACTGGGGAGCCCAGCAAGAGAGCTTCTTAGGGATTTTTGAAGAATGAGGGTCGCAGCTCATCTTGATACAAGGGGCCCTGCAGGTACCATTTTGGCATCTGCGCCCTGGAGAACGTCACACAGAACGATTGGGAGGTGTTCGTTGCGGTGCAGCGCACCCAGCCAGAGTGTGTTCCCTGGGGACCGAGTGAACCCAAAAAATTGGGTCATACTGTTGATCCACCGTATACCCTGTACTACGATAATCCCTTGTAAGGTATATGAACCATAAACCCTTTTAGGGTTCATGTGGTCCCCAGGGTTGGCAGGAGACTTGCCACTTTCGGTCCGAACAGCACCTCTGATTAGCCAAGGTCTGAGACGGGAAACAAGCGCCTTGGCAGCAGCCTTTAGTGTCTTGTCGCCGTACTTCAAAGCTGATGAAGCACAGCCGATCATAGCTGTCACACGAAGTCTATGCCGTGCTTCAAATACGGTAAGCCCTGACACAAAGACTTCCCTACAACAGAATGATACATGTGCACACTGCATGCATGTACAGAGTTGGATGTACAATCTGCATATACAGAACACCCCCGCGTGTTGCACAAGGGCGTGTGGTCCCCTAAACCGAGAACCCTGAACCCTAAACACTAAACCCTCAACCTAGGGCTTTCGAAGGTTTGACCAGTTCAAGAACCGGCTTCATGGGAACTTCCAGTACACCAAGGGCTACAAAGTCAGGCCGGACAGGGTGGATTTTCCTGGCGTGGCCTAGGGATTCTGCAGGGCTTTCCAAAACCCCAAAATGTTACGGTCCTACCCTAAGCCCTAAACAAGCTACATGAGGGTCTTGAGCCTGCGCGTTGTTGGTTGTTTCCGAAGGGCTTTTTGGGTTTCGGAGTCGCGGTTGGGGAATGTCGAAGCGCTGTCGTTTTTTGCAAACCCCGCCTGCTATATAGAATGCACTAGCCTCATCACAGGCTGGAGTGCACCGAACTCTAGCTCCATCCTACTTACCTACCCGAGTGCCTGCCTACCTCCGTTCCAAGAGCCCACGCAACAATCTACCTTCGCTTGCCCTTGGCATCTACCAGGAATCTACCATGCTGAGAATCCTTTTCCCTGCAGGGCTGGCACCCGCAAGAAGTTCTCGCGCATGGGCCCCAGCTAGCTTGAAAACGCTAATTACATGCAGCACTTGGTGTCTAATGCACGTGTTGCAGAGCACAGGGACGTTGACCTAGCGCAGGAAGGAGCACAAGGCTTTAGGATTTGAATCGTCGGTGGTAGACCGCCGTTGGAACAGCGTGTGGGCTGGTTGCTTCCGATTTCCATATTAGGGTTTAGGGTTTAGGGTTTAGGGTTTAGGGTTTAGGGTTTAGGGTTTAGGGTTTAGGGTTTAATTAGGGTTTAGGGTTTAGGGTTTAGGGTTTAGGGTTTAGGGTTTAGGGTTTAGGGTTTAGAGCGCCAAGGAATGGAGCAGGTCTACAGCAAGGACCACACCCTCAGCTGCTTGGCTCGTCCATCTGCGTTTAGAGGAGGTGTAATTATAAGGCTTGCCATGCCAGTTTTTGACACACGCCCCCTACACCCTAAACCCTAAATCCTAAACCCCTCCAGCCTTTGAGCCAGGCTACAAGCAGATGCAGAACCATGTGGGCATCTGAGTGCCTGCTGGGGCTTGAGCTCAGTGCGTCAGTGCAGACTTTTGGCCTTCCAAGCTCTCCGAATTGCTGTTCTTCATGGTACGTACAGCTGTGGGCCCCTATGTACCTTGGGGCCATATTCCCTATACTGCTATAATTCCCATGAAGGTGGTATGAACCATAAACCCTTTTAGGGTTCATAATTCGTCCCCAAAGGTAAGGTGGCTTTACCTCAAGGCACGCCTTGGAGCCCAAACTCATCCGAACCTGTTGGCTCAGTTCGTGACGATGGACGTGTGGACGGTCAGCAAGCTGCAGTTCAACACCTTGCTGGGCACGGCGCGGAGCCCGGGGAGAATGCAACGAATCTACAACTCAACTCGCAAAGAAGCTGCAGAAATTCGCCCTACATGCCGGCCTCACCACGAAGTAGTACATGTGAGCCTTAGGTTGGACCTGGAGTCAGGTTGTTTGGGTTTATAAGGTTTAGGCTTTAGGGTCGGTTTGGGTCATGACGAGGCCAGACGCAGCTTCTATGACCTGGCAAACGACAATGCCGCTCGGACGTAAAAAAATAGCGTGAATTGGGGCCGTTAACATTATGAGAAGTAGACGCCTTCTCCAGGGCCAGTCAGCAGACCGCGCACATCACGTGGGATACACACAGTAGTGTCTGCAATGGAGCCATCCAAGCAGCACCATGCACTTCTGATCGGTCCAGGCAGAGCCATGCACTAGCTGTCAAAGTTCGAGGTTTCATAGGACAGGTGAGGGACTCAGGGAGTACGACAAGTGCTCCCCCTGAGCGCCAGACACAAAGTCCCAGCTGTCGCTTTTTTAAGCCCTGCAAACCTAAAGCCCAGCACAGGTCTACCAGCACATCGGCATCAAAGCTGCTGGCCAGGCCCAGCAGCAAAAGGCTCCCTGGTAGTTGATCACGGACTTCGTTAAAGCAATTCAGGGTCTGAGTTTAGGGTTTAGGGTTTAGGGTTTAGGGTTTATAGGGTTTAGGGTTTAGGGTTTAGGGTTTAGGGTGTAGATCAATAAGGGGGCGGGAGGGGACCCAAAACAGGTATGGAAGGCATTCGGAATTTTGAAGGTGCGGGCGTATGCTTCATGCATATCTGCGGGTCAGGGGTGTGTGACGCACAGTTCGAGATACACCTGACCAGGATGGGCTCTTATACCCTATAATCCCTTTAATGGCCCTATTAAGAGGCCCTATTATACCCCATAATCCCTTAAAAGGCCCGATTATACCCTATAATCCCTTCAGAGGCCCTTTATAGGGTCCATTACGGGGATTATAAGGCCTGATAGCCCATCCAGGGAAAGCCCTGACTGACTCAGGGAGCTGCTACGGAGGAGGAAACGCAGAAGAAAGGATTCCAAATCGGCAACGTCTTCGTGCAGTGCCTTTGTTCCGAGGCCCCTCATGCTGCTTCCTTTTTTGACGCATGGAGATACCCTGAACCCTACACCCCAAATCCTGCCTAATGCATTATGCTAACGGCCCTGCACCCTGCGATGGGCTTCCCATGTAGTAGGGTGCAGCATGAAGAGAGGACACCGGAACGCTGTAGGGTAGGTGCTTCGATAGGCTTTGGGAAACCATGGTCTTGATGCATGGGTCCGGCCAGAGGGCTTAATTGTGCGACTCATGGTGCTAGTAGCACGACATGGCAGTGTATTGCTCAACAACATCGCAGATCAGCAGATACACCCAAACCTCCGCCCTAGACTCGTATCTTATGCAAGACGGTACTGCCAAACTTCAAAGTTGTTTTTGTCTGTATGTGTATATCAATACGTACGCATATTCATTTCCACTGTGCATGTCCTATTCTGACAGACGTGCACTAAAACCATTAGGGTAGTTCTCTGTCCCTGCCTGGGTCCCCTATACAATACGGCACCCTTACAAGGACCCCAAAAAGGACCCAAGAGCGCTGAACCCAGACCCTAAACCTTAAACCCCTAATTCCCTAAGGCTCCAAATAGCCCAAAGTAGGTATGGTTTACAGACTTCAGATCTCAATGTAGGTATTCCCTAAACCCTAAACCCTAAACCCTAAACCCTAAACCCTAAACCCTAAACCAACCTTTTTATATTTGGAGCCCCTATAGGGATTTGGAGAACTACCCATTTCCTTTGGCCGCCAGATCATGCGCTTTGACATCGCGGGGGCCACCCAGGGCTTTGTGTTCCAGGTGGTCATTGTTTGGTGGTGGGAGTGGAGGGCTTTGGGCTTGTAGCGGTTAGGGTTTAGGGTTTAGGGTTTAAGGTTTAGGGTTTAGGGCTGACGTACAGGGTCTGGGTTCAAAAAAAGGGTTTGGGGTTTAGGGTTTAGGGTTGGGCTTACAGGCCTTACAGGGTCAAGATTCCAAACCCCCAGCTCCAAATGAGTTACCACACAGGCGTGCCCCAAACAGTAGGGTGTTCCCAAAAGGAGCAGTTGGAGTGTGGGGGCGCCCGGCGAGATCGACTGAAGATGCAAAGCCCAACTTCGAAGCCCTGCACTGATCCCTATGATGGGGGGTCAGAATCACTGCTAGGCTAATGGTATTCCCTTGCGGTACCGTTATAGTTGTACTACGAGAACCACCAAACCCTATTCTAATCAATAATTAAGGCCCCTGTATTATACCTTAACCTGCAAGCCTTGAATTCCTATGGGGGTTGACGAAAATCAGGGACCCCGAATAGTGTCCCCCAAATAGTAGGACTCCCTTATTATCAGGACCCCAAGAAGGTACCCCTAATTTCGGAAACCCCCCTACATGGTTACCCTTGCCCTAAACCCTAAACCCTAAACCCCAAACCCTAAACCCTAAACCCTTAACCCTAAACCCTTATGGGCCTTGGAGCGCTGGCGTGTTTTTAAGTTGGCGTCCTCCGAGGCGTTGAACAACTGGCAGTTTCTTCCGAAGCCGGAGCTGAAGGAGCTGGGGGGGTTAGGGTTTATAGGGTTTATAGGGTTTATAGGGTTTATAGGGTTTATAGGGTTTATAGGGTTTATAGGGTTTATAGGGTTTATAGGGTTTATAGGGGGTTTATAGGGTTTATAGGGTTTATAGGGTTTAGGGTTTATAGGGTTTATAGGGTTTATAGGGTTTATAGGGTTGAGGGTTGAGGGTTTACAGGGTTGAGGGTTGAGGGTTTAGGGTTTAGTGTTTAGGGTTTAGGCTTGAAAGTGTGGGGGGGGGGGGGGGGGGGGGGGGGCTTTGTTTTTGGTTTTGGGCAGCTCTCTATCCAGTCTATGATCCCATAAATAGTGCCTTGTGATGGGTTCCAACTATAGTCACCGCCAAAGCCCAATTTCAAATTCTGAATTCCCCTACCTTCTATGGCGCCCCTTTGGGTTCCAAAGGACACCGGCCTAAAACCCTGATAAAGCCTTATGAACTCTCTAAACCCTCTAAACCCTAGACCCTGAACCCTATAAACCCTGTAAGCCCTCTAAACCCTATCAGGCCTCTCAACCCTAAAAACCGTAAACCCATAAACCATATAAACCCCAAACCCCTGATAAGCCCTTACTTGTAAAGCCCGCTAAACCCTATATAACCCTCTAAACCCTAAACCCCCCCAAAACCTTAAACCCTAAACCTAAACCCCTCTGAACCCTAAACCCAAAACTCCTCTGAACCCTAAACCCTTAAAGACCCCAAAGGACAACACCACGAAGAAGAAGCTGCGCCTTGGAATTCCGACCGGCCGGGAGCCTCAAGGAGACAAAAGGGCTCGGACGTCTCTTCGTCGTTAGCTTTGTTGTTTGGTTTTAGGGTTTAGGGTTTAGGGTTTAGTCACCAAGTCCCAGTTGCAAAAGGGTTTAGGGCTTTTTTTGGGGGGGGAAGGGGGGAAGGCGGGGGTTTGGGGCTTAGGGTTTAGGTTTTTTTGTGTTGGGGGGTGGGGGTTTTGTTTAGTAAGGTTTAGGTAAGTTTTCGCGATGATCTTGCTAGTCCGGCGAAAAATGCAAAACAGAAAGCAAAGGTAAACGCTAAACCCAAACAACAACCCTAAACCATAAGAATTGAACCCCAGCCCCTCAGCCCTAAACCCTAAACCCAAAACCCTAAGCCCTGAACCCAAAACACTCAACCCTAAACCCTAAACCCTAAACCCCAAACCCTGAACCTGAGGTCCCAAGAAAGGCAACGACACCTTCGAGACCGAGCCCTCCGATCCCCCGATCTACAGTTGGGCTCGCGCCAGGGGCTCAGAGGGTTTTAGGGTTAAGGGTTTAGGGTTTAGGGTTTAGGGCGACAGGCACTTCGCTGAGTTTTTGAGAGGGTTTCTAGAGTTTATGCCTAGGGATATCAGGAAGGATGTAGGGTCCGGACCCTAGAAGATCTAATTACCCTGAACCTGTTAAGCCCTAAACTCTGCACCCATCAACCTCTTGCGATCTTCGTGCTTTGCCTGGCTCAGGGTGGGATGTTCATCTACAAGGGGACCAAGGACCGGACACAAAAATCCTGACAGCTCAACTGGGGCGGCTCTTTTGGGGGATAGGGTGTGTCCAGGGGTCGGGGGTCTGAGTTTGGGTAGAAAAAAGCAGTGGGTGTAACCCTCAAGGAAGAGGGGCACCCTTTAGACCCGAGTTGGGGTGCAGACCGCCCTGAGACCCTGATTGATCAAACCTTGTGCCTCCCTTTGACCTTTGAGGCTACACCCGAACCTTCCGGGCACCTAAGAACCAATAGCGTTCCAGAGCGCCTAACCTAAATACGCCACCATGAGGTGCCCTGGAAGGATAGGGATAGGGACAGCATTCAGCCTTGACAGGAGAGCCTGAACAACGAGGTCTTGACAATCGAAGCCCTCCGCCCGAGGGGGTTTAGGGATTAGGGTTTAGGGTTTAGGGTTCCGCTATATTCCACTCCTGATTTTGCAGGGTTTAGGATTCCGGGCCGATAGAGTTGGGGGTGTAGGATTTTTGGCTCACGGTGCTTGATGGCGGTGTTGGGTTCAGGGCGCTTATAGGGTTTATAGGGTTTAGGGTCTTAATGGCCTTTTCCGGTAAGAGGGCCGGAGTGCAGCAAGGTCCTCGGCCAGAAAGGCGGCCAGTGGGCGCCGCAGGGCAAGGCGGGACAAATGCGAGGTTTTCATGTCCTTCGACGATAGGAATAGCTCCGGCAAGCTTGGAAGTTTTGAAGTGATCCCGGGGGGGGGGGATAGATATCCCATCTCACACATTAGGGTTTAGGGGGGGGTTTAGGGCTTAGGGTTTAGGTTTAAGTTCAGGGTTTGGGAAACAAGGATTGGGGGGTTTTTGTTGGTTGAGGGTTTGGGCTCAAGGAAGGGTGGCTTCAGGAAGTTTAGGGGCCCTGCGCTCAAGGAAGTTTAGGGGTTAAACCCTAAACCCTAAGCCCTAAACCCTAAACCCTAAGCCCTAACCCATAAACCCTAAACCCTAACCCTAATGATGGTCAGGGTTTATAGGGCCTCGGGCTTAAGGAAGTTTAAAGCTTAGGGTTTCGGGCTTTATCAAGGAAGGTTCGGGTTGAGGGTGTATGGGGCTTAAGGAGCAGGGATTAGGATTTCAGAAGCTTCATAGGTTAAGGCCTTATAGGAAGTGGGGGACTCGGGTGCGCCACACGAAGGATGCCTACGACGCGAAAACTTGCTCCCGCCCCTCCGCTCCCCCGCCCCCTTCTTCCCCTATAAACCCTAAACCCTAAACCCTGAACCCTCAACCCTCAACCCTCAACCCTAAACCCTAAACCCTAAACCCTAAACCCTAAACCCTAAACCCTAAACCCTAAACCCTAACCCTGAACCCTGAACCCTAAACCCTCCCCGCCGCCCTCGAGGCCTTGGTCGGCCTCAGGGGTGCAATCGACTACCCGATCGCGGTCGGCGTCGTTGGGATCTTGGGATCTTGGGATCTTGGGATCTTGGGATCTTGGGGTTTAGGGTTTAGGGTTTAGGGTTTAGGGTTTAGGGTTTAGGAAATCACCTGGAGAACCTCACAGGCAGGCTACCACAGGCAGCCCTGAGGAAAAAAGGGTTTAGGGGTTATAGGGCTATATGCAGAAATTGTTTATCGGGTTCAAAACCCTAAACCCTAAACCCGGTTCTCGGTCCTCTGTTGCCTACCCGTGCAGCTTAAACCCTAGTGAAACGCCTAAACCCTTGTGAGTGTGAGAGTGGGAGCCCAAACCTAACTCGATCAGAAGCTGGTTCGTTTTACGAACCCTAAACCCTAAACCTATCTCTAAACCCTAAACCCTAAGAAAAAACGTTGTTTTCAAGATTCTCTTCTGGAATGTAGGCTTGTCTATGAGCGGTGCCGAATCAGAACCATTGCCTCGGATGTCGTTCGCACGTTGACGTTGTGCTGCTGCCTGGTGTAAGTGCGTTTGGGGTTTAGGGTTTAGGGGTCTGCATTCCAGTTGTTGGGCCTTCTTGCTATGTTGCGCCTCCCTTCTTGGGCCTTTTATTCGAGCTTTTGCCTTTGTAGCTGATTGAGCTTTATGGATGAGATTCCGAAGTGATTCAGGTCGTCAGGGTGCATGGTGCCTATGGAATCGAAGAGGGGAACTCATGCGCTTTTGGGCTTAAGGCTTATAGGATTATGCGTTTTTGCTAGCGTTTGGTTTCGAATTTTGTTTTATACGGCCTGGGCTTGATGAACTTCCGGACTCCTCTCCTCAAGACCCCCGATTGGCAATGCAAGGTGAAGATCCTTACGACGGCGAAGAACGACTATGTGCAAGGGGCTGAGCCTGGACCCTCTTTCAAGCTGGCTTATGGTTCCTGAACCCTACAGGCCCTACACCCTCAAAAAAAACCTAAGCCGTGAAGAGTTGTCACGGCCAGGTCGTTCTTGGTCCTTGGAGCCATGATGAAGCAAGAGCATCTGTGCGTGTTCAGATCTCGAGGGTTTAGGGTTTAGGGTTTGGGGTTTATAGGGGTTAGGGTTTAGGGTGTAGGGATCGGGTTTCGGGTGTATCTGGTTGACCTCGATACAAGGTCGGGGATGACCATTCCAGGTGGCTCCCTGCAATGCCTAATGGAGAGGGTTGAGGTCGAGGGGTGAGAGCTTAGAGGTTTGCTTGCAAGCTCGGGAAAATGGGGGCCTTGGATCAACGTGCTCTCCAGTCTTTTGAAAGTCTCGGGGCATATGCCTCGGCATTTCCGCGCGTACGGGGCAAGAATGAGGGAGTTCCATAATGTCGGCCTCCACCCCTAAACCCTATAAACCCTAAACCCTAAACTCTAAACGTAACCACCTGAACTCCCCACTTCGATACCTCAAGCCGAGAGCCCTAAAGCCAGAAACCCTGATCAAGGCAGGAACCCTAAACCCTAAACCCTTAACCCTAAACCCTAAACCCTAAACCCTGGTCGAGGCAGGGCCGTGCTGGTGGTTCGATTTCCATGGCCATGCGCTCGCTGGCGTTGAAGGCATTCCGTCCCATGAAGCCCTTGGCAGAATGAACCCAACAACCCCTGAACCCGAAACAAAGATGGTTTAGGGTTTAGGGTCTAGGGTTCAATTAGGGTCATTGGAGTTGAACGCAGGGATGGGAGCGAGTGCGAGAGTCGAAGCACTGCGCTTCTATTGAGGTTTCTGTGCGTGTATATATGGGGCCCTGGAAGGATATGGGTGAGCTTTCATATACGTGGAAGAGGGTTTCTTCTGTTTTCGGGATCTTCGCCCTGAACCGGCCGAAGCTTATTAAGCTCTCTTACACGGAGACCCTGAGCAGAGAAACGGGCGAACGTCGAAGTACTCTTCATGGGAGTTGCTATAACAAGGGATCCCGGCCGTGGAAACCTGCGAGCCCCAAAGCTTACTAACCCCTCTAGCAGGGTCCGTATGACTCGTAGATACCCAGAAAGAGACATCTTGGAATGAACTCACCTTCTATACCGTAAGCCTGCATCCCACATAACTGAACCTTCCGACTCGTCCTCGCCTTTGCAGCCTGGTCAAAACGATGAGGACGCCATGCCCGGTGTGTGGGGCCTCTTGCGTACTGGGTCTTGGTTCCCCAACAAGGGTCAGGGCTTTGAGGGTTTCAGGGTGTTGGGGAGTCGCAGTTCTTAAGGTGTTATCGGGCTCAGGTGCACATGAGGAGGTTGAGGGGGGGGGGGGGGGGGGGGTCCCAACCCCTTCCCCCCCGCCCTCCCTTCTGCAAGTACTTTGGTAGCACCTTGTGTATCCCAGAACCTTTGCCTTGCAAGTTGCTACAAGGATAGACTTGCCAGCCAAATTATGGGGCTCGAAAGGTGGTCTCCCAAGACAAAGAGCAACAAGGACTCGTCCATTCCGCGACCGATGCAGGACCTCACCTCGTGCTGGCCTCAGCTTTTAAATGATATAGTTGGGCTTTGGGATCCTACCGCAAGGGATTCGGGCATGACAGGTAATTAGGGTTTAGGGCTTGTTGGGTTTAATTTGGGCTCAGGGTGTGTTTAGGAGGGATCTGTATAAGGATGATAAGGACGCAGGGCTCGTCTGTCCTGGTCGTTCGATTGGCGTCCTAATCAAAACCCATGGTCTTGTCGGTGCACTTGACGTGATCACACTCTGCGACGAACTATAACTACTAAGTGCTTAAGAATACCGAAAAAACAAAGAATATTCTTCCTTATGAAGGGCAATATAAGGCCTAAGCATATTTATATGTTTTCATTCTTTTGGGGTTCTTAAGGAAATAGTAGATAAGGATCCAAGAATGTGCGCCCGTCATTCGGGTGTCAGAATGAGCCGTCTGCTTATCCAGTGCACTAGTTCGTTCAGCGTCGTCGAGCTCCTTCACAGCAGCAACCCTAAACCCTAAACCCTAAACCCTGCATCACCTCCTATCATCGGCGCAGGCTGACCATGTACTACTTGGTGGCGAGTGTACAACACCTGGTCGTCACGGTGCTTTGGCCGCACGCAGGTCATACTTGCGCACAAATTACTCGCGCTGCACCTTGCGGCGACCTGGCCAGAATCAGAGCTGCCATTTGTGGGGACACATGCGCAAGCAAGCTTTGAGAGCTATAGTCTTCAAAGCTCAGTTCAGCTTGCAGGTGCGGGAGGTTATAAGCAATACCTGGGAACCTCAGTACCTGCACTTTTATGAGTTCTACCTACGGATTAAGGATAATTAGTTACTACTAATCTGTAGGTAAGTACAGGCCCAAACCCCTAAACCCCAAACCCCCCTCAAACCCTGTAAACCCTAAACCCCCTAAACCCCAAGACCCCAAAACCCCAAAACCCTTTTGGAGCCTTACAGGGGAAGGGCTCGGTCGAATCGCCTTCACCTGTCGCAAGGTGAATGGAGCGGATGGCTTGCCCGTCGCAGATCCCGACTATGGCTCCTCCAACCCGCCGTGTGCCCAGCGCGAGTCATGGGTTCCCCTACTACCCCCCTCTTTGGGGTTTAGGGTTTGGGGTTTAGGCTTTAGGGTTTGGGGTTTAGGGTTTAGGGCTACCCCCCCCTAGGTTCCCCCCATTATTAAGGCTATCTAGGGATAGTCAAGTCTACTTCAGGTCATTTGAGGGGGGAAACCTAGGAAGGGGGAGTACAGAGGGGGTAGCATTTTGGGCAACCCATGAGCGAAGGGCGGGAATTCGAAGCTGCTCCTGTTGGATTTGGGGCAGATAGGACTTCATACATGAGCCTGAATGAGTCTACCACTCTTACCCCCCCCCCCCCCCCCCCCCGCATAATCTGCACATGATCATGATATTAACTACCGCCCCGGTGTTATGCCAAAACTGCAGGACCCAACAACATTCCCTGGGACCAAATGAACCCTGAAACTGGGGTCATTGCACCGTATACTACTATAATTCCTAGCAATAAGGTCTATGAACCATAAACCCTAACCCTAAACCCTAAACCCTAAACCCTAACCCTAAACCCTAAACCCTAAAGGGGTTTCATTTGACACCCCAAGTTTCAAAGGTTCGTGCGTGTGAAGTACGACGGCACCGTGGAACAGAGTCCGGTGGTCATGGCTTCGCTGGCCCCGTGCTGGAGCTGCTCTGAGGCATTTTAGGGTTAAGGTTTCAGGGTTTAGGGCCTGTAGGGTTTAGGGTTTAGGGTTTAGGGCTTAGGGTCTAGGGTTTAGGGCTAGGGTTTGGGGTTTAGGGCATTCGAATCATGACTGAGCCGAAATGAAGCAGGGTTTATCTTACTGTTGCGTGAGTGTAAAAGGTTCCTTTTTCTTTTTGGTGAGTGTGTGTGTATATATCTATATGAATACGTATATATGGTGTCCTTTGCAGATGCAAGAACATAGACTCTACTTCAAATGAGTAGCATTTTTCCTCTTTCTAAACTGTGAATCAGACTACACTTACGCTGACCACACTGCCCAAAACATAGCCGTTCTAATTATAGTGTCGCCTCAATAGCCGATGTTGCCAAGATTTGGGTCTCGGACCTTGTCAGGGTTCAGAAGAGAAGATTCAGGGTTCACCTTTTCCTGCGACAGCAACCCCAAACCAAAATCACACACTTGGCTTTGAGGGTTTGTGGTGTTGAGTGCGACCATCTAGGCACATGCTCAGAAACGCTTGTAAAGCTCGACTAAGTAAAGCGCGCCACTAGCCATAGAAGCCCCCATGGGGGCGTGATGATGATTCCACCTAAACAGTAAACCCTGAATCCTAAACCCTAAACCCTAAACGTTTGCGGGCCTCCGGGGCTTAACGCCCGCCAGCTGCCGAGATCACACCTTCTACATACCGGTTCGGTTCATCGATCCGTGCATCTACAAGGACAAGGCTTACAAGAAGAACATCTTCCCGGAGGAGATGGAGTGAGTTGCCAGGGTGTAGGTTTAGGGTTTAGGGTTTAGGGTTTAGGGTTTAGGGTTCAGGGTTCAGGGTTCAGGGTTTAGGGTTTAGGGTTTAGGGTTTAGAGGTTGCCTTTCCCAGGGGCTGAAGGACTTGGGAGACCAAATGAGCCCTAAAGGGTTCATGTGGTCCCCAGAGATTGGTTGACTTGCTGGTCCTTGAGACCCCTAAACCCTAAACCCTAAACCCTAAACCCTAAACCCTAAACCCTAAACCCTACACCTCGTAAAGGTTATTCAAGCCTTGAATACCATGGGGGGCATCCAGGGCGCCATGCACGTGCTGCGGCTCTCCAGCTGCAGCTTGAGCCGAGAGAGAAGAGAGAGAAGGGTTTAGGGTTTAGGGTTTAGGGTTTAGGGTTTAGGGTTTAGGGTTTAGGGTTTAGGGTTTAGGGTTTAGGGTTTAGGGTTTAGGGTTTAGTTTTAGGGTTTAGGGTTTAGGGTTTAGGGTTTAGGGTTTAGGGTTTAGGGTTTAGGGTTTAGGGTTTAGGGTTTAGGGTTTAGGGTTTAGGGTTTAGGTACATACATATATATATATATGTAGAGAGAGAGACTCCAAGACGCCATGGGATCGAGCTCCGGGGTGGCTCCAGTGAGCGGCGACCGGTGGCTGCGGATGCTGGCAGGCCCAGGTCCCATCCATTTAGGGTTTAGGGTTTAGAGTTTAGGGTTTAGGGTTTAGGGTTTAGGGTTTAGGATGTAGGGTTTAGGGTTTAGGGTGTAGGGTTTAGGGTTTAGGGTTTAGTGCCCAGGTCCCATCCAGCAGCTTGTGCGGGCCTACTGCCCAGACCTCTGGCGGTGGGTGGATGAGATCCTTCGATGGTCTGGGACTGTTTTGTTTTGACAAAGTGCTGTCGATGTGCTTCGGGATGACTTGTAGCTCTCTTGGTTTTGCATCCTTTCCTCCGCTGCCTCTCAGACTCGGGTATTTCCGCAACTTTCCTCGGCATTTGCAATATGATCAGGATGCCTGTTCAGTCGCAATGCGCTCTGCAAGACGCATCCGAATCCTCGAAGCAACTTCTTGCGTAGAAACCCCAACCCCTGCCCTGGGGACCAAATGATATAAACCCTTTTAAAGTTCGTTGGTCCCCAAAGTATAGTCTCCCCCCCCACCCTCAACTCTAAACCCTCAAAACCCTAAACCCCTAAACCCTAAACCCTAAACCCCCTAAACCCTAAGGACCAGCGTGCCCGCCCACGCCCTGAGCCTGCACCGTGCCGGGCGGACCTTTGGGGTTATCCAAGGCCTCGCCTTGTCTTCCCTGGACAACTTGGAGGCATCTTGTTGGGGGTTTAGGGTTTGGGGTTTTTAAGGTTTAGGGTTTCGGGTTTACAAGGTTTCGGGTTTAGGAGTTTAGGGTTTATGGTTTGGGATTTAGGGCTTTCGGGTTTTAATTGCAGTTTTGTGTAGACCTCCTAGAAATGAAATTGAATCTTTTGGACTTCAGTGCCCCTATAGGCCCTGGATCTAAATCCGAAGAGCTCAGATTTGAAGTGTCAGGTTTAGGGTTTAAACCTAAACCCTAAACCCTAAACCCTAAACCCTAAACTGTTTTTAGCTTCTGGTGCTTCCGGCCCCTTGTCCCCGACCCAGGATCAGGCCTTCCTGGCAACCACTGCGCGGCACCTGCAGGCCCTGAAGTCCAGGTCTACATCCCACACACCCTTGCGGGACCTAAAGTTGCCCTAAACCCTAAACCCTAAACCCTAAACCCTAAACCCTAAACCCTAAACCCTAAACCCTAAACCCTAAACCCTAAACCCTAAACCCTAAACCCTAAACCCTAAACCCTGAGCTGGTTCGTTGACCTACACTTTTGGTTTATCGCGTTTGGAGCTGCGCTTGAGTGGGAATCTGGCGGATTGTCATAGTGAGAACCTGCAGACCGAGTCCTTGCCTGCCTTGTGCGAGTGCGAGAGCCGAAACCCTAAGCTGCCCTGGGGGATCAAAGAGATACATGGTAATTGCATGAGCCATTTAACGGTTCATTTGGTCCCCAGGGACCAATGTGAATTTGTCGTTATACTACCGGCTTACGGTCATCCTTGATAAGGATGGTTACTATGGAGGGGAACAACCCGAGACCCCACAAGCCCTTCAACCTGGCAAGTCGTGAGAAGCCTTATCTGGGTTTTGGGGCTTCTATTATAGCTACTTATACTAAAAAAAAAGTATATATATATATATATACAGCCCTTTTCAGTCTTGCGGCCTCCCCAACGAAACTGCAAGGAGCTAACAGAGCGGATACTGGATTTGATGCAGGCCGAATCCGAGCATTCAGAGGACACACTGGCAAGGCTGTCAGGTCTTGGGGTTTGGGTTTAGGGTTTAGGGCTTAGGGTTTAGGGTTTAGGGTTTCGGGTTTAGGGAGTTTGGCCGCGGTCTTGATTGGGCTCCCGGTAGAAAGGCCCTCTGCGGGGCATGCAAAGAATTCGAAGCATGAGGAGGTTCAGCGGCCAATGGGCCTATCTCGATCGATGGGCTATGACTGCAAGTTGGGCGTCAGGTTTTTTTTATAGGTCCTGCACGTCCTAAACCCTAAGTCCTTGTAGTAGCGGCTGTATACGGCCAGATTCCTAGATGTCGATGAGAAGCACCATGCTAGTCGCTGCAGACGGCCAATGTAACCGTTGACGCAGAGTTAGAGAAGGACTCCCTTGCAGGAGATCCTTCGTGTTTGCACTTACTGAGGATGGGGTTTGCGAATCCTTGTTGGACTCAGATGACAGACCTTCAGACCGAATCCTTGCCTGCCTTGCGCAAGCGTGAGAGCCGAAACCCTAAACCTGAACCCTAAACCCTAAACCGCCTAAACCCTGAGCCCTAGCCAGGCTCTTGGTGGATCAAAAGTTTTGCTTCGAATATCCCCACCCTCTCTGGCTAGAGATACTCTGGGGTTGGGTTGGGCACTCTGGGGTTGGACACTCCAGGGACACTCTGGGGCGAGGAGACGAGTTGAGTTTAAAATCTAACAACCCCACACCGAGGGTTGCGGTGCCACACATCCTCTGAAACGTCGCTGAGTTACAGCCTAAGATGAACGAGCTTGGAGGTCTCCAGGTTAGGGTCTAGGGTTTAGGGTTCAGGCGGTGTAGGGTTTCATTTTGATGCTACGCGACCCGCCTCGCCCCGGCCCAGCGCGTTCGCGTGAGCATGGTGATTCCGCAGCGCCCAAGTCGCTTGACCCAAGCAGTAACGGTTGGGTTTAGGGTTTAGGGTTCCGGGTTTATGGTCTATGGTTTGGGGTTTAGGGTTGAGGGCTTAGGGCTCAAGGTTCAAGGTTGAGGCGTGAGACGGCTCGGCTTGGGTTGATCGTAAAGTTGAGCCTGGCAGTGCAGGGGTGCAAGGGGGGGGGAGGGGGGGGGGGGGGGGGGGGGGGATGGTGGGGGGGGGGGATGGGGGGGGGCTGGGGGGGGGAGGGGGGGGGGAGGAGGGGGGGGGGGGGGGGGGGGGGGGGCCTGCTGGGCTGGGCTTCAACTGCCCCTGATCCTGCCAAACCGTTCGCTTTCAGATCGTGGTCGCTTGTGTGGGGGGGTACCCTTCCCAGGGCAACAAAAAAGGTCCGACACATGGTTTTGGGCTTGGGAGGGGTGCCTGTTCTGACAACCTATACACCTTCGGCCCGAGGCCTCGGCGGATTTAGGTGTCAGCTAGGTAGCGAAGAAAAGGAGCCGCTGAGTAAAACCCCCTACCCCAAACCCTAGACCCTAAACCCTAAACCCATCAGCCTGCAGAGGACGCCAGGCCCAAATTCGAGGACACGGGGACAGACCTAGGCGAGAACGTCACAGAGGAAAAGCTGCTGCTGACAATCTTGGAGACGAGTATCTTGGAGCCTCTATAGGGTTTAGGGTTTACGTAGGGCTTAGGGGCGATCGCAACTAAACGCTATAAGCCCTAAACACCCTAAACCCCAAGCAAGCAAGGCTCCAAAATGATCTTCGGGGGCATCCGGGACACTGGGGAGTCGCTGCGCCAGGTCCATTGTCTGGCCCTGTCTTTGGGACGGTGCTGCAGAGAAGAACTTTCCTGCAGTTCGCCCCATACGTAGTTTATAGCCCTGAAACACTCAACCCTCCCCAAAAAGTCACAATCCCGATTCATGAAGCCTACAAACCCTGAAGAAAGCCTATGTAAGCCCTGCATAAACCCAAAAACCTTATGCCTAAAACCCCCGAGGATGGTTCCTAAACCCCTCACCCTTGCATTTCATGGAGTGGTTTGCGGCTAGCAGGGTGTGTTAGGACTTAGGGACTTCAGGTGTGTTGAGTTATGGGTATGTTGGGGTCCTCTTTTTAAGACACCCAGAATTTTTTAGCTGTCACTTGATGTGGGCATTTCCCAAAATAGTGGTACCCCTGATATACCAGCAAAATACGATCATCCTTATTATAGGAACCCACCAAAAGGGTTACCCCTCATTTCGGAAACCCCCCCATATTTGGGGTTGCGGCGCAAAGGTGTGCTGTAGACATGTGCCGAGTCTTGTAGCTTTCTTCGCTCAGGAGATCGGGTGATTGCACGAGGTAAGCCTATGTTCCTGCGGTTTAAGGTTTAGGGTTTAGGGTTTCAGGTTTAGTGTTTATAGGGTTTAGGGGTTGAAGGTTGAACCTCGTGCAACTGCCGCGTGCTCCTTAAGAGGCACGGCAGCTTTTCACCTCTTTGCGGTCTGAGTACGCCTCTATAGCTGCCCTGCCTACAACCTTGGGGACCCGATGAAGGCTGGGGGGGGCTTATAGTTCATAGACCTGAACAGGATCATAGTACAGGGTACTTTGACCCCCAAGTTGAGGTTCGCCTGGTCCCCAGGGAAGGCAGGATGTGTACAGTCTTCCGCAGTGGGGCGGCGGGCGGCGGGAACTTGAAATGCGTTGCTTCTGAGACGCCGCTAGCGTGTGAGGCAAGACATGTGCGCAAGGCGTTGGCGCGCGCTGGGGAATATGTTCAACCGTAAATATCCATCCACTGCAGTTGCACAGGACTACATAGGGCCCACCCAGGTTCAGATCTGTGTTACGTCAGACACATTCTTTCCAGCACGGTTCGTGGCACCCAGACCTCAGGGCAGCACGTGGATTCTCTCCCTCAGTCCCCCCCCCCCCACCTTCCCTTCCCAGAGCATTGAAATGCAGGCCGTCGGTAACCGCGAGCTGCTGTCACTCGCGCTGCTTTCGTTGATCCTGCTTTAGCTTCGGTTCGTCTGTCATGTGCCTCATCATCTTTTTCCGCTAGTGCACATGGAACTGCTCCATCCTTTCATTTGCATCAGAAACGGTGTCATGGGGCTACCCTGTAGTCATGATTCCTGTTAGACACCATTAAACCACGCCATGTGTAAAATCTCAGCATTAGTTAGAACGCTGGATAGATCCCATGGCATGTACTAATATGGTACCACAATCGCCTACAGTAAGCCCCAAACCCTAAACCCTAAACCCTAAACCCTAAACCCTAAACCCTAAACCCTAACGAACATAGAAACAGAATAAGAAGTAGGTCAGCCGATGTGATGAGGAGATGAAGTCCAAAGGCTACCTTGAGTTGGAGATCTGGCATTGGGACGGCGTGGCTTGGCTTAGTAGCTGACAGAGTGGCATTTACACTTTTTGGGATACCAGAATCCCCTATAGAACTGAAAGTGTACACTTTTTTTTTTTTTTTTGGGGGGGGGGGGGGGGGGATATGAACTCAGCAACTAAGTTGGGCAAAGGTGTTCGCTGCTGGGGTACGGGGGGGGGGGGGGGGGTAGTTGGAGGGTTGTTTAGGGTTTGGGGTTCAGGGGTTAGGCGGTTTAGGGTTTAGGGTAAGGGGCATGTTCTTTGGATATTGGGACCAAGCAAAGAGCCAAGGCGAGCAGCCATGTATGGCTACAGTGATGTCATCTAAACCATTGCCATGGCCCATGCGTAGTCTGATGAGAAACTCCTAGGTAGGATAGACACAAAAAGGGAACCCGATATTTCGAGAGCTGCCATGGTGATTCGACCGCGACGGATGAAGGTTTAGGGTTTTTGTTGGCCTCTGTCTTGCACGCTTCTGTATTAGGGTTGCTGGGCTGATTCCAGGCACGTCAGAGGGGATGCAAACCCTTAAAACCCCAAACCTATAACCTTAACCCGAAACCTAGAACCTTATAACCCTAATAACCTACGTATAACCATATAGCACTAATTGCAACCCAGACAACCTATAACCCTAATAAAACCCGAGAACCCTATAACCAGATCGGAATAACCCGATAGCCTATAAACCCTATAACCCGAGAACCCTATAAACCCTAACCCTAAACCCTAAACACTAACCATAAAACCCTATTAAACCTACCCTAAAGGTTGTTAGGTTTCACGGACGCCAGGGTGCCGACAGAGTTCCTTGGCTCCAACAAGCTGGACCTGCAGAAGGCAGGGTTCCGTCAAGCCAAGCAGCTTCCTTGGTGCACCCACGGATAGGGATTTAGGGTTTAGGGTTTAGGGTTTAGGGTTTAGGTTTATGGTTTAGGGTTTAGGTTTAGGGTTTAGGGGTTAGGGTTTAGGTTGCTTTTGTACACTACCGCTCGCTTCTGGCTCGGCCTTGTAGCTCTCACGAGCAGTAGGGTTTTTGTGCTTGCCCGCCCTCAGAAGGACGTAGGAGCAGAGCTCAAAGTGCCAGATACAGACAGCTATAGGGAAGCAGGAGTTGCTGGGGATTGGGGGGGGTTCAAGTTTGGGGGTTGGAGTTTTTTTCCCTCAGCCGGCCCACTCAAAAACCAACACTGAAGTTCATCCCCTGGCTGCGCGAGTACGGAAACTTTACATGTCGAAGCTGCTTACGATCCTTAACATGGACTTTCTAACTTACAAACCGAAACATTGGAGGAGAAAAATGAGCCCTAAAATTGGGGATTATACCTGACTACTATAAGTCCTATTGAGGTAAAAGACACCCCCGAAACCCCCTAAACCCTAATTCCTAAACCCTAAACCCTAATCCTAAACCCTAAACACTTTTTGGGGTCATGTAGGCCACAAAGGCACAGATCCCATCTGCCCCAGACACGCTTCGGGGTGCAAGTGGAGCGGGCGCTCTGCCGATGCCCTTGAAGACAAGCACCTTGGCAGATGGTTAGGGTTAGGTTTAGGGTTTAGGGTTGGGTTTAGGTTAGGGTTTAGGTTTAGGGTTTATGTTCAATACCTTCTGCTGTTGGCACAAAGCTTTATTCCGTGAAAGCAGGTGTGGGGTTGTGAGATACATGTTGTTAGTTGTTAGTAAAAACTTTCGCAACATTTTTCAAAGTGGCACTGTTCTATCATTCAGGCCCTAGATTGCCATTTTCAAAGTTGCAAGGCTGATTAATTATACCCGGCGCCTTTTGGGGATCTGTCGGGGATTGAAAGCCCCTCGCGGAAAAGACTGCTGCCTATCTGCAGCTTCTGTCTAAGCGTCAACCACAGTTTGGAGGTTTGGGGGTTTAGGGCTGGCGAGAGGGGCCAAAGCCCTGTTGCAAAAGAGTCAAGCTAGGCATTAGGTGGCCTGAAGGGTAGTCTATACTGTACTATTGCTAAGAAGTACGGTAGAAGAATCATTGTTGTTCTTTTGTTTTGCGTTTTTAAAAGTAGGGGTATAGACGAAAGCGTGGACGATGCCTTTCCTGCCTCCTGCGAGAGTGAGAGTCGACTGCCAAAGACAGTATCGTATACCATACTCCACCTGGAGACCGGGAGTAGGCCTTATCTTTTCTTTTAGGGTTTCGGGCCCCTGTATGCTACTTGTTACAACAAAATCGGGCAACCCTTTTGAACCTAGGTTTCTCTTGGGTCTAGAGACTCTAGGTAGGCTCTTGGGATGTGGGTCTGGTGCTTATAGTTGTTTGGGTTGCGAGAGGATGATATGGAGGAATATGTTGTCAAAGGGTTTTAAGGTAATTTCCTAGCCATCAGGTCACAGCAACATGTAGAAATCTGATTCTGAGTGCATAGAGTCTAGTCATATAGAAGATGGCATTGTCATACTGTATGTTCGATCAATATAGGTTCGAATTAATTACTAATCGGAGTCCCTATGGCCCCTCTTTGCATTGATACTATAGTGACCCCCCCCCCCCACCAACTCTTCAGAACCAAGCCCCTTAAACCCTGAACCCTGAAACCCTAAATCTAAAACTCTACACCCTAAACCATAAAACACTAAACCCTTAAACCCTAAACCCTCCCTAAAAACATAAACCTAAACACTAAAACTTAAACCTAAACCTAAACCCTAAACCCTTAAACCCTAAACCTAACCATAAAACTAAACCCTAAACCCAACCTGAACCCTAAACCTAAACCCACGAATGTATTCACACTGTGCAGGAAGTCGAGAACTCACGGAGCACAGATGCAAGAGCGCGCTAAGGAAGATCGGAAGATGCCGCTTCGACCGAAGACGTGAAGGGCTCCTTGAGGTAGGGTTTTTAGGGTTAGGTTAGGTTTAGGGTGAGGGTTTTAGGGTTTGGCTTAGGGTTTAGGGTTTAGGTCTGCGGGTCGAGGGTTCAGGAATTTTAGGGTTAGGGGGATTATGTGGGTTTAGGGCTTTCAGGGCTTGTGAATGTCATGTTTGTTCTTAAAAGATTCCGCACCAACGGGCACGTCTATACAAAACAGATAGATAGATATACCTAAGCCTACGCCTAAGCCTACAACATAAACCCTAAACCCTAAAACCATAGTTTCGTTTGTTGTGCACCGCTGGAGAGCATGTGTCGCAAGAAGTCGAGCCATGGGCTCCGGGCAAGACTACAGAGCTCAGGCTTGAGAGTGCCAATATAGTCTTGGGCTTCAGGTTAAGGATTTAAGGGTGGAATGAGGTTATAGGAAGGGTAATGGGGTATAGGGGGTTAGAAAGGTTCCAGGGTGGAATTTTAAGCTTATGGGGTTGAGGATGGGTAAGGGTAAGGCTAGGTCCTGCGATGCATTGTAAATGGGGGCTTGGGGTTGGGTTTCTGGAGATTCTTTTCTGGGTTCAGTGTTAAGGGAAACACGATTGTTTGTTTTCGACAAGCGTCAGATGCACCTCTCACGGCAACCAACATCT